GGTGATGTATTTGCTACAGATGGTTGACGGAGACGTGCCTGTGATTGAGAAGGTCTACGAGGGGATGGATCAGATGAGCGAGAACATCCGTCAACAAGAGGAGAACAATCTTAGGTATGAGGAGCTAAACCAACTGATTTCAAATAGGTGGTGGGCTTATCATAGCACCTTTCACTCCGTGGCATACATGCTTGATCCAAAGTTTCAGGGGCGAGGACAGGAAAAATCCAGAGAAGTTTCCAAAGATTGGAACATGTACTTGGAGATCCAGTTCCCTAACTATCAACAAAGGTCAACTATAAAAAATCAGCTTTGCCAATACAGGAACTTGGAGGGTAGTTTTGGCACCGGGGACTCTCAGATGGATCGTACAACAAAGGGTTCTGTGCAGTGGTGGGAGGACAATGGCTACTCAGGTCCAGATTTGCAGAGGTTGGCAATTCGAGTGCTTAGTCAGGCAAGTTCTTCCTCATCTGTGGAGCGACTATTCAGCATTTTTGGGCACATCACTTCAAAGAAGAGGAATTGCTTAGTAGTGAGCTGGATTGCAGACTTTGTATTTGTGGCCAATAATACCAAGTTGATAGGGAGCCACACTTCCTATGACAAGTTTGTGGGATTGAGCCAGACAGGAAGTATTCCTCAAATTACTGATGTTGATATTGAAGCTATGGAAGAAGAGGATGAAGACGAAGATGATGATCCTGCTAATGAGGAGCTTCTAGATGAGATGGAGTGATAAGTAGAATATTCTAGAGAATATTCATGTTTTCACCCGTGTTTATCCGTGTTCATTTCCGTGTTCCGTGTTCGTGTTCAAAAAATTGAATGCCGTGTTCGTGTTTTGAAGCTATGGGATCCAGAGATAAAATGGAGTATTAAATGTGTCTCATTGGAGTACGGTGACATTAAAGATATGTGGTTTGGAGAGGGCATTTAACCTTTAGTTGTTATGCTCTTTACTACATTTTTGAAATGGGCTTGTTGTAATGGAAAAACACTTTTGAGTTACTTACTGTTTGCTATTATGTTGGAGCCGGGGATGCGGCCAATTTACCGGTGTTTATTTCAATTAAGTTATGTAGAGGAGTAAGAAGTTCAATAACAAGTCAAGGAGTTACTTGAGTTTAGATTTATTCAGCAAAATAAGTCTCTATTTGGTGTGCTTGTGAAGAAGAAGAATAGTTCAATACAAATGTGCATTGACTACCGTGCTTTGAACAAAAAGACAATGAAGGATAAAATGCCGATACCGCATGTGAATGATATCTTAGACAAACTTGGTGAAACATGAGTGTTTACCAAGATTAATATGAGGAGTGGATATCATCATATTGCAATGGATGATGCATTTATTTCCAAAACGGCATTTAATACAAGTTTTGGGCATTTTGAGTTTATAGTTATGTTGTTTGGTTTGACAAATGCACTAGCCACATTTACTTAGTTGATGATGGAGTTATTTAGGCATTATCTTCATGATTTTGTGGAGATTTTCTTGAACGATATTCTTGTTTTCAGCAAGAATATGGAGGAGCACTAGGTGCATTTGTGCAAAGTTCTTTTGTTATTCTGTGAGAGCAAATTTTATATGAAGAAGAGCAAATGTGAGTTTGCAAAGTCAAAGGTGGAATATCTAAGTTATATTGTAACTTCTAAAGGTGTCAAGACAAATCCAAAGAAGGTGGTTATGGTGGAGAATTAACCTACACCAAGGATAATGGTCAAGTTACATAGTTTCCTTAGTATAGCTAGTTACTATCGTGGAAGTGGTTATTCCTTTGACATGATTGTTATGCAAGAGCATACCATTCGAGTGGAAGAAGCCACAAGAGGAGAGTTTTGTAGCATTGAAATGATTGTTAAGCGAGGTTTTAGTGCTTTACATTGCTAATCCATCAAAACATTATAAAGTGTCGCGAATGTGACTTCGGGTATCGAAAGTTACCTGTCGGCCAGTCCTTATGGACACTCTTACCTTACTGCCACGATAGCAAGAGGTCGGTATTGCTGGACCCGTTATCAGTTCCCACTTGAGCTAGTTGAGAAACTGGTCAATGACCATGCACTTAGATTAGATAAACATAAGGTAGGAACCCTATGTGTTTCTTGCTGAGCATACTCGGCTTGGTTTGAGAAACTTGAGTCATTGGCTTGCACTTGCTAGTATCAAGAACCCCCGCGATATTGAGATTGGTCCCTCAATATCGCTACATGATAGCTTACCGTGTCTGCCAAACACCCTCGCTATCATGCCCTTTGTGTTAGTCTCATTTCGGTCCCAAATGCTATTTATGGAAAGTGTCCAGATTTGTTCATTTGGCATATCTACGAAATGTAGAGATTGGTCTGAACACAATGGTGTTCGTCCCATGTCCAAATTCACAATGTAGGGACATTCCATATTTAGTAAATTTCAAGCTTGTCCCAGAGACTAACTCCTGATACTAAGGGAGGCTTGGGGTGAAAGCCCAAAGCGTGTGTTCCTCAAGGGGGGGGGGGGGGGGGAAAGGGGCCGGGGGGGTTGTGGGGGGTTCCAAATGTATAGTAGGGATAGAGGGTAGGTCGGACATGGCCGACCAACCTGAGGCATAGTCTAGCTCCCGCTTGCGTGTCTATCCTTGTTCTGCGTCCGACTTGGGTCTAAGCCCAAGTTCCATTCCATGCTAGCTGGTGGAGTACCCATATCCTCACGTTAGGCCACCGGTATGCCGAAATAGCACCAGACTCCGTTTGGCTCCGTTTTGCGTGTTGGTCCTGGCATTGGGATGCTGGTTGCTCCAGGACTGTTCCAAGTCGCTCCGGGCTCCTGTCCCTTCACTCCTTGGGCTATATGCTCGGGAGTTGCTCCGTGGTCCGGTTCCATCACTCCTTGGCATCACACTTGGGAGTTTGGCACCGTTCCTTCGTTCAGTGGCCCAAGGCCTTGAACCTCGGGTTCCTATGGACACATGGCATGAACACATGGTATGTGACACGTGGCATCTATCACGTGGCACAAAGAGGGTTTATGTTCCGCTTCGTGGTGTTATCCTATGGTAAATCACCATAGGATAAAGGGTCAAAACCACATGCGCTACATAAAGTGACATATGATACAAGTAATTATGCATTGGGAGGAGTTCTCATGCAAGAGGGACAGCCTATTGCATATGAGAGTCAAACTTTGAATCCCTCGGAGCAACACTATTCCACATATGACCAAGAGTTATTTTCTATTGTTCATGCTTTATGGATGTGGTAGCACTACTTTTATGATGTAGTGTTCATGGTGTTGACAGATCACAAACCACTCATATATTTTTTCACACAGAAGGAATTGAACATTAGGCAAACTCATTGGATGAAACAAATATTACTTTAAACTCTAAATCAAGTATTAGGCTTAGAGAGACTAAATTATGGATGAATAACTTTTTCCTATCAACTTTCATTTTGGACTGACAACATACTATTAGGCTATATTTGGTTTGTTTGCTTTTAAAAAGCTTTCACTCGAAATCTATTTCAATTCTTTGTGTCCTTTTTTGTCAAGAATCAAGATCCACCAATAATTCACCATGCATTGCAATGCATGGACAGGATGACTGAGGATGCAAAGTAGTTGTTTTGTTCACTTTACCCCTTTACAGTAAGTGTGCCTTCTCCAAATTCACTAGAAATATCAATGCCACTTCCAAGACAAGTCTATTAGAATGAATTCCACTAATTACAAGTTTGGTTTTGCTTCTTTACTATAATCTAGTATCAACTTAACACAGTTAATCTTTAGTAAATTGTACAGTGTTAAAAAAAGGAAAATAATAAAATGGTATATCCATCCAACTTAACACCTAGAAACTCAACACAATTAATCTTTAGTGTGATTGTGAAAGGGAGCCACTCTCACTAATAAATTGTATAGTGTTAAAAAAAGGAAAATTATAAAACATTGTTCATGTTTAAAGGGCAACTCTAGGATTGTACTATCCCTACTTGAAAGGATGACTTGAAAAGATGAGGCAGATTGGGAATTGAACCCAATAACCCTACACAATAGAACAATATAATGTGCATACTATAACCACAAAGCTATGAACATTGGGAGATAATAAAATATAGTGTCAACACCCAAAGGAAGATTTGGAGTTCATCTGACTGTCCACATGGACAACATGCAAGGGCTGCGAGGCCAGAGATTTGGAGGATCCATGCACAGATCCTGTACCTCTCCAACATGATCGCTTACATATATGGCAAATGTGGGAGCTTGGGTGATGCCAAGGCCACCTACACTGCAAATCCAAACCCCAATGTCTTCTCCTCCAACATCCTCCGAGGCAGCACAATTCAAAGCCTGCACCATGGTTGGTCCTGACCGTTCCGAATGTCCACCGCCCGACCGCCCGACCGCCCGACCGTGGTTATTGACCGGCTGTGAAAATGCCGAACAGCCGAACGGTTCACAAAATTTTTTTGATAAAAAAAATTTGTTTTTAGTAAAACCACAAACCAAAGCATTAAACCAAACCAAACCAAACCAAAGAATTAGAATTTCCATTTTAGGGCAAAAATTTCAAGTGTCGTGGACTGGGTGATTTGATTTGCGAGGCCTCAGTGAGTTGCTCTGCGCTCAATCGAAAGCAGAGGCTGGAGAGTGTTGCCCTGTAGAGCTCGGTACGCACACAGCTCCTATAGGCTATAGCCCTCTTCGTCAAATTCTATGTAGGCTTGCTAGGCTGGGCATTTGTGGAATCTCTCCATAGCAATAGGAGAACAGCAAAGCAGTGGAGATGCAGTGGCGATGGCAATAGCCGCATCACATCAGAAATCTAGCGCGATCACCATTTTTTTTGCCGAATGGAATCACCGAACAGAGCTGTCCAACCGCGTTTGGCCGACTGCATTTGGCGGCGGTCGGGATTTCGGCCAAACGCAGCCGGGACCAACCATGGCCTACATGGTCTTCTTTTTCCAGGGGATGCCACACAAGGACTTCACACATTGTGTTGTTGGAATCGATGGGATTCCTCCCAGGGCGATTCGCGGGAGAGTTTCGAGAGAATGCCATGCTGGAGCATCTTCTCCTTCACTACTATTGTCTCCGGATTTGCCCCAACCATGCGATGCGAGCGCTCCATTTCATCCCCGAGAAGAGCACTGTGTCATGGAACGCTGTGATAAATGGCAACTCACAAGTCGGCCAGCAACACACTGCCCAAGCTTTGTTCGATCACTCCTGCGATAGAAACGATCTGACGTGGACTTTTTTGATAGCTGGACATGCCCAGAATGGGCATATGGAGCAGGCAGTAGTGATGTTTGCTTTGATGCCTTCAATAAATCTAATCTCTTGCAATATAATGCTTGTTAGTTTTGGTAGCAACGGTTTGTTATCACAAGCTCTAGATATCTTTTCTAGAATGCCTTGTATAGATTCTTAATCTTGGGGTTCTTTGGGCTCTGCATATGCCCTTTAAAATGGGTATCTAGAAGATGAGAAACACATGTTACAGAGCTTTTACACCGAAGATTCCAGTGCTTGGAACACACTTATAGGCGCGTACTCACAAAAGGAAGACTTAGTCTTGGCATCATTTGTCTTTAGGAATACTCCCCACAGAAATCTCTGCTCGTGGAATGCTATTGTACAAGCTTATGCCTTAAGTGGGCTTTTTGAGACAGCGAACCTTCTCTTTGAAAGAATGCTGGGAAGAAGTGCCGTGGCTTACACCGACCTGTTACTAAGTTGTTGCACGAATGGAAAGCTCATCGAATTGAAGCAGTTGTTTGATGAGATGCCTCATTCGAAGTGCATGCTCATGGCCTACGCTCAGGACAAGGCCAAACAAACCTTCAACAAGGCAGCCCAGCATGACGTGGTTACCATGGTCCTAACTTTCTCTTACCACGGCATCTCCGGTGATCTTGGGACAGACGCAGTCGGACTGGGCGGCCCTCACGAACTTACAGCACTTGGAAGACGGTTTAGGCTAGACGAGGCAACCAATCTCTTCAAGAACTTGGTCGACCATGGTAGCATCTTTATCTAAAGCGTTTGCCACAGAATGGAGCTCTAGGGGCTGGTTCCCGACAAGGTAACTCTGATGAGGCAGTTCCCGGGTAGGGCAAGCACGTTCCCGCCCAGAATGGGCGAGCCGGGCATTCGAGCGTGTTCTGGAGGGAACAAGGGAGGCCGTGCCCAGGAACGGCCTTAATGGGCTGTGGCAAGACTGTTAATGGACACGTGGAATAGCGTTATTAGAGGATGAGAGGATTCTCCAGAACCTGGCGGCTGGCAGCTGGGTTCTCCAGAACCTGGTAGCTGTCAGCCACGTTCTCCAGAATGTGGTTAACAACAGTAAAATTCTCACAGAGAACCTGACTCAATCCGACGGCTACCAACAGCTGGATCAAGTTAACGGGCGAGCCACAGCCCGTTAAGGGCGTGTTCGTCGCTTGCAGCAACTTGGGCACGATGAAGCGAGTTGGGGGTTATGCGACTACCGTGCTGGGTTCTCGGGAGCGGCTACACAATCGACATCGATGGTGCGGTGGTGGACTTGGCCACTGGGAATGAGATCAAGTCGCTCCCTCGTATGTTCTCTAGCTCTCTTCGATTTGCTTTCTCTCTTGTCCCATCACTTTTTTCTGGACTGCTTCTAGAAGCGAGGTGTTGGCTTTGGAATGTTTCCTCTGTCTTGAGGGTTGAGATAAAAAGAGTGTTGCTTTCATACTTCCAGTGAGTGAAAGGTGAGAGCTTGTTGGTTTTTTTTATGACTGACTCCATGCGATCAAAACAGAGTTTCATGATTTGTTCAGAACTTACAGCAGAACGGGTGAATATTCGTTTGTACTGTGACAAAGTAAACTTTGAGTATCCACCATCCTAGCTGGCAGTCTATATCTACAATTCGTCCATGTTTTGTCCTTTCCTGGCTCTTTTGCCACTCAGTTCTTTCCTTCTTCATGCTCATAAATGTCTGTAGCTTGTCCAGTAATTGTCCCTCCATAGCTTTTGTTTTTTTGCCATTCAGTTTTTCTTTTTTTTTTTGCTTGACTTGCTCATACATGTCCGCAGCTTCTCCCCCACTCTACTTTCGACAGTGTCTTTTCTCCCCATTTACATAGATGTCTAGCCTTCGTCCATGTTTCTTCTTGGCTCTTTTGCCACTTAGTTCTTTTCTTCTTTGTGCTCATAAATGTCCGCAGCTTATCTAGTGTTGGTGTTCTTCCCTTGTTGTCATGCTTGACATTCCCTGTCCATTTCTAGGCTTGATCTAAGTTTGACCACATCTGTCATGTGTTTCTCCAGCATTGTTTTTGTTCATGCTCACCCAGCATTCTTGTAAAATTGCCTTCAACCTCTCTTTCTTGTCTTGTGAAGCTGCTCCTCTTCAAAAGAAATCCTGTCTGTATTTTGGGTCTCTTCTCTACATCTGTTACCTGTTATTGCTTCTTAGCCAACTGTAAAGGAAAGTGTAAGTATGTCACGAACCTTGGTCAGGTGGGAAGCACACTTTTCCTCATGGCTTGTGGTCCAGATCCGCAATTAGCTTAGCAGCGGCAGAGGCAGAAGCAGCGAGGACTCACTCCGCTGTTGTTGTCCGGGAAACTCTCGGTTCCGATTCTTCTTGAACACTGCTTCGTGAAGCATGTAGAGGTCACACATAAGATCTATCTCAAAGTCCACTTCTAGCTGTGTTAGTTGGATTTGCAATTCAAATAAAAGTGGATTTAAAAACACCTTACATCCCTCTTTGACTTCTGCAAACTTCACAACTTTTTGCACCAACTGAGTCTCTAGACATGAGTGCCATAAGTAGGATCTCTTGGTATGTTCTTCACTTCTCCTGCCACTAGAAAATTCTGCTGCTAGATTGGCACTGTGATTTTTCATAGAACTTCATCCTTGTTGCTTGGGCGATCATGATTATACTAGACTTCTTCTGCCGTCATTATGTAACCACGACTCGTGGTCCTTCCTTCTTGCTTGGCTGATCTTGGCAGCCAGGGATCCCTTTCACCCAGGAAGCACTGCTTCTTCCTTCTTGCTTGGCTGGTCACGAAGCAACAAGAGGCTCTTCAAACCTGGACACAGCTTGTAATTTGACGATCACCGACACCTCTGAATCCTCAATTTCAGTGGTCTTCTTCTTCTTCCTGGAGTGGGCAGGCAAGCAGCGGACGAACATGTTGCTCACCTCACTATCTCGCTCCGTGATGGTGCGCCAAAACCCTATTCACCTGAAAAAATTTAAGTGTACGAATCTTAGTAACAGCCCTGCCACCTTTATCGTAAGAAGATGCTTGAGCTTATATTTGGGCTTTCAATTACCAGACATGGGTCCGGTTTTTGGAATCATCAATCTCCTTAAACCTCCTGCTGTAGACAAACTAGTTTTGTCATTCTAAAACATAGTGTTGGTTCCTTGTGAAATTTAAGAACGTCGATTTACTGAGGAGCGGGGTGGTCCAGGTTGAGCTCGTAAAACATGTCCGTGACTGTTCTCCGGCTTCCTCGAGTCGTGGGAGTTCTTATCAACGATTTTGTCCCGCTCAGAGGTGTTGAGTTTCTGGGCGTTAAGTTGCCACTTCCCGGTGGTCTGTGAGGCTTGGATGTGTTTCTCACAGGCTCGCTGTTGAATCTGTGTAGACGACGCATGCGCTTCAAGGATTATGAGAAGGAAGCATCAGACAAACTAAACCTGGGATCAGCGAAAAACATTCTTATCCGCTCGTCTGGGACGAGCCAATGATCCTTCTCCTCGCGGATTTGGAGAATGCACAACCTTAGGACGTACTGCAAGGGAAAGGGGGTAAGAAGAAAGGAAAATGTAACATAATCCCACCTCTAGAACTCCAAGCTTTGCTGTTCTTGCTCCAACATGATCTTCCAGGCCCAAGGCTTCACTGCTTTGGGTACTCGACGACGCACTGTCGTTGTCACCACCATCATCCCCATCCATGCATTGCAATGCATAGTGAACAATCCTTGTGACTTGAGGTCGATCCTGACAGGAAAATTACTAGCTTCACATCAAGTTCTTTCATTCTCACCCCTGCTGGAGATTCTAGAGGTTCGGGCGAATTATCTGGACACAAAGACCTGGGTCAGAGCTAGACCAAATCCAAGTTTTTGAAAAGCAAATAAGACCGGAAGTAGCATATACGTCAATGAGAAGGACGGCCTCTAACTCATGTTGTCCAAGCCCAAGAACATGCAAAGTGGAAGAACCTATATCAACAGAAGAAAATTATTCAAACACAGCTGCTCAAGTTTATGATTACCAATGGCAGCCACATTTGAAAGAGGTATCGATATATGCTGGTGGTTATTCTCATTGTGATCTTCATCCTGGATATGAAAATGCAGACAATAGCTCAAAACCACGAAAAAAGAAAACTGAGAAATTGACGAACCGAATTATCAATCTCAACGAGAAACTCGGCTTCTGCGTCCGGTAAAGGCACCAATTTTCTGAGTGTCAAAGTGCAGTGCGGAATTTTTTCTTGCCAGCGAGGGAGCGTTAATCGAGTTTCATATTCATAAAGCTTCACTCGGAAACTCAGAACAGCATTCCCAATTTCAGCACCCCGAATCTGCGAGAAAAAACGTTGCTAGTGAGAAAAGAGTGAGCATAAAAATAAAAAACAACCAAATAGCTGGCGTCCATCAAACGTGCTGGAGAAATTCCATCCTCTTCTGACTTTAGCAACGAGACAGCGTTCATAGCCATCGCCATGTACGGCAAGATGGCATCCAGTCTGCAGCTCCACAATTTTAAGCAAAAGAAGAGTCTCAAAAGGCAATACCTTGTGAGAAAACCTTGTAGCCTGTTCTCTGCCTCGGATGGAGAGGTTTTGACGACGTCCTGGAAGATTGGGTCACAGCAATTTTCTTGTAGAGAAAAAAACACACCTCATTATAAACTTGAGATTCAAGTTCTTCTTGGAATCTCACAATGTCATTGATCACACGCAATATCATGTCCAAAGCGCCCTGCATGAATCAGAAAAACATCTGGAAACAGTGAAAGAATATTAAACACTGACCTGTAGAACCGTGTTTCCATGGAGCACGTATTGCACACACATATCCACGGGAAGGCTGAGAACCTGCGTCACAAAAACCAACTTAAATCAGATGGGTGGCTCCAAAAAACTGCTAGCTTGCTAGTGTAGCTTGCTAAACGTACCTGAAGTCTGGATTCCAGCTCCTTTTGCAAGAGCTCAATCTGTAGGGAATAAACTTGTCATTGATTGATGAAAATAAAAGGAAACACGAACCCGATGCTGCCCACTGAATCTGGAATGCAGCCGCGTGAAGAGTGACGTGACGGAGCGCTGCGCGAGCGCCTCGAATGTCTTACGAAGAAGAACCGTCCCGGCATAGAGGGCTGCGGCATCCATCCCTGCCAAAGAACAAAAAGAATTAAGCAAAAACCCTTCTACCTATAGCGTACCTTTTAATATTTCTTCAAAACGTTCGCCAGCATCACGTAAGGCAAGTGCTTCCCCAGACTTTCGGAGTGATTCGTCTCCAAAACATTCTCCACTCCCTCGACTCCGGAGATAATGCCATCCGAGTGTGTGATGCAAGCTCCAACGAAGGATGTCCAGCCGATAGCTCCAGGCCTGAGAGGCATCGAATTCAGCAACTCGTGAGCCTCCGTTAGCTTCCCAACTCTTCCCAGGATGTCAGCCACGCAGCAGTAGTGCTCCCTTACGTGCTCGACACCGTGCTGGTCCGGCATAGCTCTAAAGTGGTGGAGACTATCCTCCAAAAGACCACCATGGCTACAAGCTCCGAGAACGCTCGTGAACGTTGCCTCGTCGGGCACGGCACCCTCCACGATCATGAGTCGAAAAATTTCGCTGGCGTCCTCGACGTGACCATTCTGTCCGTAGCATCCGATCATGGCGTTGTAGCAAGCCACTGTGCAGTGAGGCATTGTGTCGAGCATTTTCCGTGCTTGCTCAACCTTTCCATCTCGGCCGAGAGCTGTTATCATCAGGATCCACGACACGGCATTTCTCTCCGGCATCCTGTCGAAGACGAACTTCGCAGCCTTGGTGTGCCTGTTTTGTGCGTAGAGGCAAACCATCGCAGTCCATGCGACTAAGTCCTGCCTTGGCATGTCTCGGAACGTCTCTTGAGCTCTCTCGATGTTGCCGTTGGAAGCGTAGGCCTGGAGCATGGTGGTCCAGGAAACGTCGTCTCTCTCTACCATCCGGTTGAAAATCCTCTCGGCTTCTTCGATATACCCCTTCTGGGCATACGCTTGCACCATGGTGGTCGACGAGACGAGGTTGCGGCAAGGCATGGAGTCAAAAACCAGCCGAGATTCTTCCATCAGTCCTTGTTGCGAGTACGCCAGAATCATGACGTTGTAGGACGAGATATCTCTCTCGGGCATCTCCTCAAACAGCTTCTTCGCTTGAGAGACCTGTCCTCTCTGGGCATAAGCCGTGATCATAGCGTTCGTAGCGACGATATTTCGGTCTGAAAGCTGGGAGAACATATTTTCCGCTTGCAAAAGCTCTCCATTCTCGGCGTAAGCTTGAACCATCGCCGTCCACGAGACCACGTCCCACTCGGGCATTTGATCGAACATAAGTTTGGCTTGGTCCAGATGCCCGCTCTGGGCATAAGCTCGGAAGATCGTCGTCCAGGAGACTACGTTCCTGTGTGGCATTCTGTCAAAGAGCTTCCGGGCCTCTCCCAGCTCGTCGCTCCACACGAAAGCCGCCAGCATGATGTTCCAAGAGAAGATGTTGGGCTCCGGGATCCGAGAGAAGACGGCCATTGCTTCGTGGAGCTTGCCGCAGCTCGAGTACATGTGGACGAGCAGGTTGGAGACGAAAGTGTTGTGTCGGTGCTGGCTGCTGAGGATTGCAAGGTGGATTTTCCGGCCTTGTTTCAAGTCCTTCGTACCGGCGCACTGTTTGAGATCTCGGCTGAATTGCTCTACGGACGCCAAGTTGACCACCATGCCGCTCGCGAGTGTGTGTGTGAACGCAAAAGCCGGATGCTTTTCTAGAACGCCTGTGAAAAAATTTACTTTAAAGTATCAGGAGTGGAGAGAAAGAGGGGAGAAAATCTTTCTACTCATCTGCTTCATGCCCGTGCGACGCTTTCTCGTTAGCTGTCATTGACCTGTGACTAGGAAGACCATGGATGTATTTCCCTGGAAGGAAAAAACAATGGAAAAGTAATCACGCTTGAGAGAGTCACGAGTATTTAAACTCAAAGTAGCTTACCAATGCGTTGAGTCGAGCAGAGCTAGAGCGAAAATGAGCGAGCATCGAATTCCAGTCGCTGCTGACAAGCAAATCTCTCCTCCAATTTCTGCCGGGGAGCAGAAAGGCTGCAAAGGATTGAAGAGAACGGATCTGATGCTTCGCTTCGCTGCGTTTGTGTGTTGCGCTGTCACCATGGTCGTTCTCATCACGGATAAGCAGACTAGTGCCATTCAGGTCCCAGGCTTCAATAACTTGACGATCACCAAGACGGTCAGCTTCGACTTGGCCAAGGCGTTTGTGTAAGTTTTTCACGGTTTTCTCCTCTCTTTCTTTCTTAAGTCTTCACGTTCGTCTCATGTTTCGTTCGCTTATCGACTGTGTTTACTCGCTGGTTTCTTTTCAGATATCTCGTCTCTGCGGCAGGAATCGGCGCTGGTTACACGCTCCTTGTGTTGGTCTTGTCGATCATATCTGCCGAGCGCTCCAAGGCTATAGCATGGTTCATCTTCGTGTTCGATCAGGTCACACCTGTTGAAAGAATTTCAATCAGATTGGGAGTTGAAGCGTTTTCTTGTCTGCAGCTCATAACTTACGTTCTCCTAGCAGCCGCTGCGGCATCAACGGAGGTTGCGTATATGGGGGCTCACGCACCACCAGAGGCATCCTGGCTCAAAGTCTGTTCCCTCTTCGGACGGTTTTGTCACCAGCTCGGAGCTTCGCTGGTTACTTCGTTCATTTCGACGGTGTTGTTCGCATTCTCAGCGGCGATTTCTGCGTACTACCTCTTCAGCAACACAAACGTACGACCTGCTTACAGCAAAGGGTAGAATGTAAGCCTCGATTGAAAGAGCTATCAAACTAAAGGAAAAACTTAAAGAGTTGTTCACCTCTGTTCTTGTGCGTGGTGGAGCCCGAAGAGTGCTTGTGAGTCGTGACAGCGTTCGAGAGTGCTCCATTTTCCACTGAGTGAACCACGGCCATCATAGCGGCCGAAATGGCGGGGTGACAGAAGCTTGCGTCACTGCAAAGTAGATGAGCGTGGAAAACTTGGAACTGTTCACGTGTTTCACCGCCAGAAAATCTCTACCACGAAACGCAACTTGGCGAGAAAGAAAAACAGGCCCAAAGTAAGAAATATTCAATTTAGTAAGCTCACTAGGCTCTGTTCGATACTTTTGCCGATATCCACTCTACCAGAGCCTTGTTCACCTCTCCCGGGGCTTCGTCGTGTGGACAATGCCCAGCTTCCAAAGTCACAACCGTAGTATCTTTGTAGAAGGCTCTGATCTTCTCTGCTTTTCCAGGACCAACCCAGGGATCCAACACTCCCCATAAAAGTAGAAGTGGACACGAGAGATTGGATAGTAGCGAGTCCATGGTCAGCGTCGAGGGCCTGAGCATAAAGCTCGACATCATCCTGAAACTCGAGTCATTTAACACTCACGAGAAGACTATGTGCATACCTGTAGTAGACTTCAGCTGCGTTGGGGTCCTTTGTTGGTAAAACGATCGACTCCACAAGATAGTCATCCACGTTCTCGTTGTCCTTGTACACCTGGTAGCAAGTTTTAGTACTCGGGATAGAAAAGAAAACGAGAATAACAGACGTTTTGTAGAACTGAGCGGATTCGAGAAGGCTGTTTGGCTTGCCAGAATGTCAGGAAAACTAACCATCGTCTTCCCCATTCTTGGATAGGATTGATTAGTCTCCTTAGTGCTGTTTCTTCCACAACAGGTTTCGCTTTCTTCTCTTTCAGTTCACTTTCAAACTGTCCTGATGAATTTAGAAGAACCACGCCAGAGACGAGTTCAGGATAAACTGAAGCTGTGTGAAGCACTGTAAATCCACCAATGCTGTATCAAAATGCCAAGAAAACTAAGATCCTAGGCATGCAGGAAAACGAAAGAAGAAAGTAGTAGGACTTACCTGTTTCCCACAAGCACCACAGGCTCTTGGACAACTTCCCGAGCAAAAGCGGCTACTTGTTCTCTCCACAGAAATGGATCATACTCAACAAGAGCTTTGTCACTCAGTCCAAATCCCAGCAAGTCCATTGCATACACTTTGAAATACTTTGCCAGCTCTGGAATGTTGTACCTGCGAGAGTACAAAACTCACAAATGCCATAGAAAAAATCTATATTTCCGAAGCTTACCTCCAGTGAAAAGCTGACGCTCCAAAACCGTGCACCAGCAGAACAGGAGCTCCTTGGCCCTCGACAACGTAATGAATTCGGTGTGTTTTCCATTTCCAGAAGTTGTATCCTTCCTTTTTGAAAGGCAGCCTCTCGAGGCCTGTGAGAAAATAAACACCTTGCTCATCGCTGGAGTGCAAATCTTCTTACCTCTATAATGTGGAGCCATTGTATCGGCGTAAGCAGCCCTACACAGCAGCAATCCGGCGGCTACCAAGGGTAAATCGATGAAAATCCTCCTCGTGATACCTCCTTGTAACAATGGTCGATCAATCGAGCTCCTCCAGCGAGCGCCTTGCAGCAAATTCCCACCTGGTCTGATCACGCGAGCAGCGGCAGGAGGCGGAGACGAGAGCGCCATCGATCGCTCCTCCACATTCCCTAGCAACAACGTGTGGAGAGGAAGAACTAGGGTTTTGCGCTAACCTGGTTTTAGGGCTAATTCAAAAACTTTGGCGCCATTACAAACGTCAAACGTCATGGGTTCGAATCTCGTCTCTTGGAAAAAAAAGCATCTTCCTGTTCGGATGTCCGCGTGTGTCGCCATGCGCGGCACGAATAAGTTGAGAATCGTTGACATGTAGCTTTAAGTTACAGTCCTCGATTAGTATACAATCCCATGGACAAAACTTAGAAAATTGGGAGACCCATTTGCTCGATTGCTACTCACCATTCTTGAGGTCACACTTGTTCCACCAAAATTTCCCAATCGAATGGTTGTTAACTATAACAACACCGCCACACTATGGTCAATTCAACCACGCTAGCATTCACTAAAACAACATGCGCTAGGCCCACGGTCACGATTCGCTTGATCCACGTTTGCACGGCTGGGATCGTCCAGAGCGGGATTGCGCGTCATCTGGTACCATGGAATGGGCACCAGATGGACGGTCCGATGCATTCCAGGCTGTGCATATATATACGTATTAAGTTCTTTGGCGAGGCCCCCTTCACAGCCAGAGGAATCGCTCAGGGGATAAGGAAGTTTAGGGCTCTTGGCCTGTCGTTGCAAAGGCATGCATTGCCGCTGCGATATTTCGAGCGATTGACCGCGCGTCTAGCGATTTCTGGGAGCTGCCGATGGCTTTGGAGGCTGTTTTTAGCAATGCTGGAGGGCGCATCGGGAGCACGGCGAATGTAAGGTTTTCTGGAGCTGGGATTTCTCATGGATGTGGAAATTTCTTTCTAGGGGGATTTGCAGCGGCTGAGTTCGAGCTCCAGTTCGTGTTTCACAGGGAGGAAATTGGCAGTAACAGGTGCGTGAAACACGTTTTCGACAGCGACAGTACTCATTCGTTCTAGCTTTGCATGTTTGCAGGCGCTCAATGTGGTACCTCCTCCAGTACGCAAGAGTGCTCAAGAAATGCTGGTTCCTCTAAGATACGCTGCTCGTCAAATGGTCCCCCCTCAGCTTGGCCAGGCAGAGCAATGGTGGATGGAGCTAGAAAAAAATCCTGGGATGGACCAAAGCCCATTTCACTTCTTGGATCCACGGGCTCCATCGGCACACAGGTTAGAATTGTTTTTCTTCGTTTCCTATGCAAGCGATGAGGATGCTAACGTGGTGTTGTGCCAGACACTTGACATCGTCTCGGAAAATCCTGACAGATTCAAAGTTGTTGGGCTGGCTGCTGGCTCAAACGTTACACTTCTTGCTGATCAGGTAAACTACGAATTGGTCGTATCTGTTTTATACGAGCTTACACTGCCAATCAACAGGTCAGGAGATTCAAACCAAGCATGGTTGGGATTCGAGACGCATCGCTAATCGACGAATTGAAAGAAGCCATTGCTGATCTTGACGTAAAACCAGAGATTGTCGTTGGGGACGAAGGAACTGTACAGGTACTTTGATTTTCTCAGTTTGTTTTTGGTCTTATGTTTTCCTCTTGTGTTTGCTTTTTTTTGCTCTTCAGATAGCGTGTCATCCAGAGGCAGTAGAAGTTGTGACTGGAATCGTTGGTTGTGCTGGCCTCAAGGTAAGCGTACACGAAAGTTTGTTCTTCAAGCACTTAGACATGTACAATAATATTCTTTGCAGCCTACAGTAGCAGCAATAGCAGCTGGAAAGGATATTGCTCTAGCCAACAAGGAAACTCTCATAGCCGGCGGTCCATATGTTCTACCTCTTGCAAAGAAACACGGAATCAACATCCTACCTGCGGACTCAGAACATTCCGCGATTTTCCAGGTGATGTATTTTCTTTCCTCCAACAGTGCTTATTTCTAACATTCAACCATGCGTATTTCAGTGCATTCAGGGGCTTCCAGAGGGCGGAATGCGTAGGATTGTTCTCACAGCATCTGGTGGAGCGTTCAGGTAACTAAAATCGACTGACCAGTCGTTATACTTCACCAATCCAAACTGAACTTCTCTTTAAAAATCAGGGACTGGCCAGTGGAAAGGCTCAAGGACGTCAAACCAGCAGATGCGCTGAAGCATCCAAACTGGAGTATGGGAAAGAAAATTACTGTGGATTCGGCAACCTTGATGAACAAGGTAAAAAAACATTTTTATACTTGTCTGCTGAACTAACATCTTCTGCTGGCAGGGACTCGAGGTCATTGAAGCTCACTATTTGTTTGGAGCTGACTATGATGACATTGACATTGTTATCCATCCCCAATCCATTATACACTCCATGATCGAGACACAGGTAATATGAGTTGAATGCTTCAACACACAACTAACACAGCTAGTCAAATACAGGATTCCTCCATCCTGGCGCAATTGGGGTGGCCTGACATGCGACTACCTATTCTTTACACACTCTCTTGGCCGGATAGAGTTCCATGCTCAGAAATCACCTGGCCAAGGCTTGATTTTGTCAAGTAAGCTTCACATTTTATCACCTTGTCGGTTGGAAACATTTAGTCACACCGGAGCTTTGAAACAGGACTGGATCGCTAACGTTCAAAGCCCCCGACCGAGCAAAGTATCCATCCATGGACATATCCTACGCAGCTGGAAGAATGGGAGGAACAATGACAGGAGTCATGAGCGCGGCCAACGAGAAAGCAGTGGAGCTCTTCCTAGACGAGAAGTAAGCAAAATAGTTAGTTTCCAAGGATTCTTTTCTCATGGCTGTGTTTCCAGGATTGGTTATTTCGACATCATCAGATTGATCGAGAAGACTTGCGAAACGCACAAGCGAGATTTTGTCAAGGAGCCAAGCCTGGATGATATCCTCACATCCGACCGATGGGCCCGGATTTACGCTGCGGAAGTCGCGGCACAGGCCCCTCCGCAACCTGTACCGGTATGAGAATATATATACACTTTCGGTTTTTTTCAACTAAAAGCTCTTGGTTCTCGATCAAGTTCACTCGTAAAACGTTTCTTCCAGCTTCGTAGTCAGGGACGGGGTCCAAGAATGTACGCTGGAGGTCTCAAAGTCAGTGGATCTTTCTCGTTATCACGCGAGGAAGAATGGTGGTAGTCCGTGGTGCTGACAACCGAGTCGTAACCATAGCAGCAGCAGGATGATCGCAATGAGCGTGCACTTCTGGGTGCTGCTTGGCACAGTGGCTGCGAGTTCCCTGTCCACGTAGTTGGCCGCCATGCGATCATATCTCAATGAGCTTCCACCAGCACAGCCATGTCGAGGAAAATCAGCAAGTTCTTCTCGATCTCCTTTGCCTCTCCTGGATCTCCCGAATGGTTTCCAGCACCTCATACTGGATCGCCCTCTGGACGAACACCGGTCTGGACTCTCGATGGTCTTGTGTTCCAAAGGACAGGCCATCGATCCATTCTTGACCAACCAACCTGAGCTTCCTTTTTTTTTTTGCTTTGCCCTCTTTTCTTTGTTTCGCCAACTTCAATTTCTTTCGAGAGTGTCTCATGTCATGGGACCAGACAAACTTGAATATGTCACTCGCCTCTCAAACTTGATCATCCACATCCACAGTAAATGTGGCATTCAGGAGAAAAAATCATGTATGCCCGAAGTTCATCCAACTTTCATGAGTTGGATTTCAATCTAAACAACATTGTCAAGCATTAACATGCTATTGCATCAAAAGTCATGCAGAAGAAATGGGCGGTAGCTGCAGAAGTACACGATCTCGAGCCCACACTGCATTGAAGGTGGTGGTAGCCTCCAAATCACCAAGCTCTGGAGCGCGGTTGCACACAACAACATTTGGAATACCAAATCCAGAATCAGCATGCAAGGTGTGGTAATGCCACTGCCTCTCCTCCAAGTCGTAGACCACAATGAAGCGACCAGAGTCCGGATCCATCCGGATCGCTTATATTCCCCTGAGATATGCAAGCGTAGCGACCACCTGCCGTAAACCAAAACTAATCTGTCAACCCCATCCTGGTATATGGGATGTGCAGCAACCTTTTGCCACCCTTCTTCACCACCCTGCCAGCTGAAGACCTCAAACTCTTCAAAAGGTATGCAAGAGAAGCTGCCCTGGTGCCAGTGGAAACCCTTAGGACGGACATTATCTGGCGCCACCGGCAAGCCCTTGTATGATCGATTCTTGGGGTTGTAGTAGACGGATGGAATGTACCCTTTTTCCAATCTCCCTCACCTCTTGACCATCCATTAACTCAAGGTCCACGTCTTCTTCCCCTTCAACATCTAACAGAGGCTGCCAGCTCCCGGTGGAGGAGACGTAGAGAAAGCAACCGTGGATTGCTATGATATGTGTCGAGCAGCAGAGAGAATGGACCCATTTCGTGGCAGCGTAGCCCATGGCTTCCGATTAACTGCTCCGGGATCATGATCCATCACACGGGCTGCATGCTAATGTGAAATCATCCGTGCCATTTCCTCTGTGAATGAAGGCCTTTGAATCATCTATCTCCTCTATCCTATTTGCTACTTTAACGCCTGAACCTTTAGCCGATGGAAACAACTCCAGCCCTGGATCAGAGACAATACCATCATCACCAAGAGGGTTCATCTGGATCTATGGCCTCTCACGCCGCGAGGAGCTCTTGGATTTGGCGCTATCCGAGAAGCTACTGGGTATTAATTGGTCTACGCCTAGGATAGTAGAGATATAGATAAGTCTACCTGATGATCACCCAATGCACACTTACTGCTCTTGATTCGGAAGCATGAACTGGTGGCATATTGCAATCAGTAAATGATTTACCATTCTGTGCACTTCACTTTCTGGTTGCACTGTGCCGCCAGTTCATTTTTCGTCTCTCGCAGCCGCTTACAACTACTATAGTAATTTTGTGTTTACATCTATGACTGATGATTGATATTCATCAGATACAGGGAGTGGTATATAGACCACAGCTCCCAGGAGAACAGTATTCGGATGCTCGAAGCAATGCATTGATTTTTTTTCTAAATGTACAAAGGTATGGCAACTAAGACGGCAGTGCAGCATTTTGCAGACCATGCCTTGGCTGGCCACAAGGACAGCCAGTATAGATGTTTCATGGATGAGAAGATGATAAAGGCTCACAAAACCAAGAAAGAAATTCTAAAATACCATATATGCTACATTTTACTTTGGGAGGTATGTCTTTTGTGTTCTATTGCTTTCTATTTATTTAGCACCCATTTGATGTAGTGCTGACCTCTTGATAAACTTCGGATGAGTTTATATTCCAAGTTCATTGCAATTATAGATATGACTATGTTATTTTATCGTCATAAGCTGAGTTCCATGTGGTGGAATGTGTGATGTATCATTTTGTGATCACAAAGTATTTCATTTGTAAGTTATATATTTTTTGTATAAATTTTAAATTTTTTTTCTCAATATCAAAATATAAAATGGATCATGGAGGGCAGGGACAAAACTTTAAAAATCACCTGCATCAAGTGTAAGAGGTAGATTCTATTCAAAGAAAGTTGAGTCTTTGCTATATACATTTCAGTTCTTTTAACTAAAAGCACTGGTTGCTTGCACTTCTCGATCGAGTTCACTCTTAAAACGTTTCTTCCAGCTTTGTAGTCAGGGACGGGGTCCAAGAATGTACGCTGGAGGCCTCAAAGTCAGTGGATCTTTCTCGTTATCACGCAAGGAAGAATGGTGGTAGTCTGTGGTGGTGGTGGTGGTGGTGGGAGGATTATTACTACTACTACTACTACTACTACCACTCGGCTCCCTCTTGAGACCCCTATCCTCCATAAGCTTCTTGAGCTGGAGGAGCTCGTCCCACATCCCGGCTGCGACGTAGATCTTCCCAAGCATCAAGTAAGCTAGTGCATTCTTTGGTTCCATCTCGAAAACTCGATCCGCAGCTCTTCTTCCCAGCTCCACCTTCGAGTGCCTCTCACAGGCGGCCAGCAAGCTCATCCAAGCGCCGCAACCGGGCGCAAACGGCATCGAGTTGATGAGCTCCTCGGCCTCTGCCACCTTTCCCGACCGCCCAAGAAGATCGATGAGGAAGTGGTAGTGCTCGGCGCCCGGCTGGATGTCACAGTCGTGGATCATGATCTGGAAGTAGAACACGGCCTCACGGAGAGAATTTGCGGCACTGCAAGACGAGAGAAGGCTGACGAAAGTGATCCGGTTGGGCTTCAATCCTCGCTGCGCCATCTCCCAGAAGAGCTCCAGCGCGAGCTCGAGCTTTCCATGGTGGCCGTAAGCCGCGATCATGGTGGTGACCAGCACCACGCTCCTCTTCCGCGAGAGCTCCCGGAAGATCGCCACCGCGTCGCCCAAGCTGCCGCACTTGGAATACATCGCGATCAAGGCCGACGCGACGATCGCGTCCGTGTTGCAAGCTCTGGCGATGGCCTGCGTGTGGATCATCCGCCCCTCGCCCAGCGCCGCGGCTCCAATGGATCCACACGCCTCGAGCACCGCCGCGAAAGTGTTTCGATCCGGCCGGACGGGCGGAGCTCCTCGCCTCTCCGCGAGGATCATCTCCGCGTAGAGCCGCAGCCCCTCGCGGGGATGGCCGCGAGCAGTGTAGGCCGCGATGAGCGCGTTCCAGAGGAGAGCTTCGCGCTGCCTCGCCACTATCGCTCTCGCGAGATCCATCTCGTCGCAGCACGCATACATGTTGACGATCGCGGCAGCGAGCACTGGAGTGATCGATCGCAAGCTCCTGCCCGCCACCGCCGCGTCGATCATCGCATGGATCTCCCTCCCCCGCGTGAAGTCCCGGCTCCGCGAGCACGCGTCCAGCGCGATTGTCATCGCCACCGCGTCGATCCTCACGCCCTCGTCGCGCATCCTGGCGAAGAGCTCCAGCGCCGCGGCGTCGCGACCATTGTGCGCGAGCGCGCCCAGCATCGCCGTCCAGGAGATCAAGTTCCTCACCTCCATCGCGCGAAACACCGCGATGGATCGCTCCAGGCAGCCGCATTTCCCATACATGCTCACCAGAGCGGTGGCCACCATCACATTCCACTCGAGCTTGCTCGCGGCGATGGCGGCGTGGATCTTCTTCCCATCCTCGAGCGAGTTTAGCACCGAGCACGCATCCAGCGCCGCCACGAACGTCCCAGCGTCGGGCCTCACGCAGCTGTGCCTCATCCGCGCGTAGAGATCCAGCGCGCTCTTGCCCAATCCATTCAGCGCATAGGCCGAGATCATCGAGTTCCAGCAGATCACGTCCTTGGCGGGCATCTTGTCGAAGACCATCTTCGCATCGCCCATGCTACCACACTTGCCATACATGTTGACGATTGCGGTGGCCACCACGACGTTGGATTCCATCCCGCTCGCGATGACGCTCGCGTGGATCATCCGCCCCTCGCGCAGCGCGCCCAGATTCGAGCACGCGTGGAGGAGGATCACGTAAGTCACTCGATCCGGGACGACGGTGGCGCCACTGTCCTTCATCCTCTGCGACAGAACCAGCGCCTCGTTGGAATGCCCATTGTGGGCATACGCTGCGAGCATGATGTTCCACGAGAAGATGTTTGGATCCGGCGTGCGATCGAAGACCTTGCGCGCGTCGATCAAGCTGCCGCATTCGCCATACATCTGGATCAAGAGATTCCTCAGCCGCGTCTCGCGATCGTGGCCAGTCTTGAAGATCTGCGCGTGGACGCGCTTGCCCTCTGCCAGCGCTCGAGCGCGGCCACACCGGCGGAGGAGGATCGCGTAGGTGGTGGTGTCGGGATTCCGCAGCAGCTGCTCCAGGCCAATCTCTTCCTTGGAGATTCGCCCCTTGCGCTGGAGGAGCTCGCGTTTCTTGGTCATCTTGTTCCTGGATCGCCGGACCACTGTGTGGATTCTTCCATCGTCAGCGTCGCTGCTATGATACTGGAAGATCGAGGACGTCGCTGCGAGTGCTAGATTCCAGCAAGAATTCGCGGCCACCATGATCAACATCGTCGAAATAGAGAAGAGCTACTCTATCTCGATGCTTATAGAAGAAGAAGAAATTCCAACCTTTAGCTCACCATAGCTGCTAGTAACTCGAGCTCTACGTCTAGATCGCCGCTGGAAGTGTAGAGATTCGATAGCAGCAAGTGAGGTCTTTGATTCCTCTCGTCCAACTCCGCGACCATCTTGGCTACTCGCTCGCCGCGCATGATATCTCCGTGGATCCGGCAAGCTCCCAGCAGCGTGTTCCATGCCACCGCGTCGGGGAGAAACGGCATCGTTCTCACGAGCTCCTCCGCCTCTTCCAGATGCTTGGCTCGCCCGAGAACGTCGACCATGCAGCAGTAGTGCTCCACGCCGGGTTTCATCCCAAACGCCGACTCGATCGATCGAAAGAATTCTCTTCCCCGGCTCACGAGCCCGAGATGGCTGCAACCTGTGAGGATGGTGACGAAGGTGATACCATCCGGCTGGAGTCCCTGGAGAGCGATCTTCCGGAAGATCATAGTGGCCATCTCGAGCTCTCCATTGTGGACGTAGCTCGCCACCATTGCAGTCCAAACCATCACCTCCGGGTAGTGCTGGATTCTCTCGAACACGGCCAGTGCTCCGTCCAGGCGACCATTGTGGGAGTATGCCACCATCATTGCGATGCACGAAACCATGTCCTTCTCCAGGACTTTCTCGAAGAACAGCGTCTCGGCCTCTTCCAGGCGGCTGCTCCGGCCGTAAACTTCGATGATCACGGTGCAAGTGATGCGATTCATCATGGGAATCCGGTGAAAGGTGGCCAAGGTCTCGGAGAGATGCCCGTTCCGGGCATACGACCAGAGAAGAGCGTTCCACACCGCTACTGTTCTTGGGGAGATCCGTGAGAAAAGCTCCTGGGCTTGTTCCGGATGCCCGTTTCGCGCGTAAGTCACCGCCATCTGGATCATTGACACCGAGTCGCGATCGCCCATGCTCTCAAAAAGCGATTTTGCATCGTCGAATAGGCCGTTCTCCGAGAGCCCCTGGGCGATGCTGTTCCAGGAGACCGTGTTGTGCTGTGGCATTCTCTCGAAAAACTTCTTTCCTGCTGCCCCTGACTGGTGAACCATCCGAGCAAACGCAGCAGCCATTGTGTTCCACGAGAACACATCCCTTTGGAGCATCCTCGTATCGAAGAAAGCTTTTGCTCGATTCAGACTTCCATGCTTGGTGTACGCTGCTAGCATCTCGTTCCACGATATCACGTCCCAGCACGGAATCCTCGAGAACAAAGACTCCACATCCTCGATCCCCCCGGTCACTGCGGCTTTCGCGTGGATCAGCGCGTTCCAAATCACCACATCCCTCACTTTGGCCGCATCAAACAGCCTCTTGGCCTCCAAAAATCTCCCTTCTCGAGCAAACCCTCCGATCATCGCATTCCAGGCCACCAGGCTGTGCTGTGGAATCCTCGCCAGAAAGATCTTCGCTCGGGAAAAATCCCCTTCCTGGGCATTTGCCGACACCATCGTGTTCCAAGACACCACATTCCTGCCCGGCATCGCATGGAAGATCTTCCAAGCCTCCTCGAGCAGCCCTGCCGAGGCGTAGGATGCGATGAGAATGTTGAATGAGAAGACATTGGGATGCTCGATCGCATCAAACACCGCCCTGGCCTCCCCCAATCCCCCGCATTTGCCATACATGTCGATGACGAGATTGAGGAGGAAGACATCCTGGCCATGCTGCCGCTGGAGATCCAAGACGCGCTTGTGGATCCGCCGCCCCGCCGAGAGATCCCCAAAATTACCACACGATCGCAGTAGATTCGCGAGATGCGTGACCTGGAGAGCTCCACAAGAAGAGGAAGAAGAAGCTCTCATGCACCAAGAGCCCTAGCATCTTAACGGTCCAGTTTAGGTTCGAGCAATCCGACGGCTCGTATAATTCCCGGAGCTAACTGGCTCGGGATAGGTCTGGGGGGGCTTTTACTCTATTATTTTGTTGTGTTGTTTAGCGTCAGAGGAGACGCGCTGCTTGAGAGCGGCACCGCAAATCTCTGGGGCGCGGCGCCACAGGGGCAGGGCGCCGGAGCGGCGGCGGCGAATCCAGGTTGGTAGCAGCTTCTAAGAGCGCGAATCGAAGCTGTAGAGGCCCGGGAGGGAGTCGCCATGGCCTATTTGTGGAGCTTGTGAGAGCGGCCTGGATTTGGAGGGGCCGAGATCGCAGGGCAGCTTCTACGCATCGCAGGTGAGCGAAATTTCTTCCCTGGAGCCGCTCTGGGGTCGAGAGATTAGGTCATGGTATTCATACGAGAGATCTTCTCTCTTTCTTTTGGCAGTGACGATTGAGAATGGCTGGCAACGAGTATGAAGGAGCCGCGTATGAGGATGGTGCCGAATCCCCTGGAGCCAGGCACGGGGATTATGGCGAGCCAGCACATTACGATGGCCAAGAGAATGGCGGCGATCGCTATCGTGAGGTAGAGTTTTTTAGTGCAGTGTGCAATCCATACAATTTTTCCTTTGTTCGCCCCCTTAGTTTTCCTTCCGCCCAATCTTTCCTTCTCTTTCCATTCGTAGAGTTTGAATAGGCATTTTCATGTAGCCTAAGTTGTGGCTTTTCCTCTCTTTTTTTCTTCACTTATTCATTTTTTGTGTCTGTCTGTTTGTTGCTTTGTTCTCTGTGCGTAGATTCAGGGGCTTATACTCAGTTCTCCATGTAAGATCCACACAGGTTCACCATGCGGTTCATGGGAATTTATCTTGGCATGATGCATAAAGTGGATGTTTCTTCTTTTCTTCTTTCTATTAGCTGGACAGACTCACAACTGGTTTTCCTTACAGCGAAAGTCTCGTGAGCGGGAGAAGAGCAGAGAAAGAGATGACCGGAGGCACCGGGATGATAGAGACCGCAGGAATGACAGGGAGAGAGATTACGACAGGGATCGTGACCGTGAAAGAGACCGTGATGAACGCCACAAAACTCGAGATCGCGAAAGGTTTTTGTTTTCATATCAATAATTTTTGTATCTTGCATCTTTTCTGTTTCCTTCCTCAGAAGACGGAGTCGAGACCGAGACCGTGAAAGAGAGCGTCGTCACAGGCATCGGTCGCGCTCACGGTCGAAAGGAAGATCTCGAGACCGCTCAAAGTCCCGCTCCCGCTCCCGGTCTCGTGATCGACGAAGGTATTTTTATAAAATGAGATTAACAACTTATCAATCCTTTTTGTAAAAGTCGTGGCAGCAAAAGAACCAGCGGATTTGACATGGCTCCTCCAGGTGCCGCTGTCGTTACAGGAACTACACCAGGTTTGCAAGCAACCTTTAATTAGGCTAGCTAAGTAGACTTGGATGCGTTGTTCATATAGAGTATCTCGCATTTCTTGTTCTTTTCCCTATGCATGATGCCGACGTGGGCAATTAGTTCAACTCTCGTTCATATTCTTAGCCTTGACCTTCTATTAATGTTTTCTTTCTTTTGACGCTCTGGTCTGGTGGTGAAGTGTTGTCTTTGTATTTGTAGGTCAACTTCCAGGGATTACTCAACCTGTTCCCGGGGTGTTTTCCATGTTTCCTTTCGCGGGCACTCAGGCAAGTCTTCTTTTTGTGGTTCGATTTTGCCGTCTGACAAAACTATCTCCTGCAGTTTGCGGGACTTCCGACGATGCCAGCACAAGCAATGACTCAGCAGGTTTGCCTTATCTTGAAGTTGTAACGAATGTGCTAAAATAATTTTTCTCAGGCGACGAGGCATGCACGCCGTGTGTATGTCGGTGGATTACCTCCCCTGGCAAATGAGCAGGTGATTTTTTCAGTTAGGGGGATTGATATATATTCAAATATGCTTTTTAATTTCGGACAGACTATCGCGACATTTTTTAGCCAAGTGATGTCTGCTATTGGAGGAAATACGGCTGGCCCTGGTATCAGAATTCTGTCTTTGTGGGCACATTGTGATGTGGAAGTTTTGGATGCAGGTGACGCTGTTGTGAATGTGTACATTAACCAAGAGAAGAAATTTGCTTTTGTCGAAATGCGAACTGTTGAAGAAGCCAGCAATGCAATGGCTTTAGATGGTATCATTTTTGAGGTAAATTTGTTTTTTTTTTCCTGGTAATCTTAGTTTTATTCTGTGATTTCCATAGGGGGTCTCGGTCCGTGTAAGAAGACCAAGTGATTACAACCCTTCGATGGCGGCGACACTTGGTCCCAGTCAACCGAGTCCTCACCTTAACCTTGCAGCAGTCGGACTTACTCCTGGGTATGTTTACTTTTTCTATTTAGGATCTTTTTCTAAGAAACTGTCTTGATATTCACCAGTGCCGCCGGCGGAGCTGATGGCCCTGATCGCATCTTTGTCGGCGGACTTCCTTATTACTTGACAGAGGGTCAGATAAAGGAGTTGCTCGAGTCGTTTGGGTAAGTAACCCGTGGATCTTTATCCTATATTTTCTCTAATTGCTCTGGCTGTTGCAGGCCGCTTCGGGGTTTCGACCTTGTAAAGGATCGCGATACAGGCAACTCGAAGGGATACGGCTTTTGCGTTTACCAGGTACTATAGTGTATAAGCTGGCTCTTATGTGGCAAGCCAAAATTCAGGATCCTGCTGTTACGGATGTAGCCTGCGCTGCTTTAAACGGGCTGAAAATGGGCGACAAAACGTTGACGGTTCGTCGAGCTACTGCTAGGTGGGATCTACTGTCTGGAATTAGATTTTTCTAAGCACTTTTAAACAAACGGCATCGTCTAATCTTCTCCTAACCTTTTCCGTAGTGTCCACAGTGGCCAGCCCAAGCCAGACCAAGCTAACGTCCTGGCTCAGGCGCAACAACAGATTGCTCTTCAGGTGGATCACTCTATCCCTCGTCTTTTTGCAGTAACTTTTTTTAATGCCGTGTCTTTCGTGGCAGAAGCTTGCCTTGCAAGGTGCGCCTTACTACAACATGATGATGCCAGGCGTGGATAACGGCATGACGATGCCCGAGACCCCTACCAAAGTTGTGTGCTTGAAACAGGTGAATCGCTGCTTAGGCGTAGAATTTGCGTCTTGAACTCCGTCTTTGCAGGTTGTTTCTCCAGATGAGCTCAAGGAGGATGATGAGTACGAGGAGATCCTCGAGGACATGCGAGAGGAATGTGGAAAATATGGTACGTTCAAGACGAGCTGATGTATATGTGTTACCGGCATTGGTTCCAGGTAGCGTGGCCACTTTGGTATTACCTCGGCCTAAATCAAACGGCGAGGAGGTCGCAGGAGTTGGGAAGGTACGCAGTTGGCTCGCGTCTAGGGAAAGCTAAGAAGAGCTTGTGCTGCAGGTATTCGTGGAGTACGCCACGATCGAAGAGGCAATCAAGGCCAAGAACTCGCTGAACGGGCGCAAATTCGGCGGCAACATCGTTGCCGCGGTGTACTTCCCGGAGGACAAGTTCCTCCAGGGGGAGTATAACGTCGAACCGGCGAGCAGCTAAGGGAACGAACACCGCCCCGCTCGCTAGGTACCAAAAGCCTCTCTCTCTGGTTGCCACTTTGTAACATCAAAAGCAGGACAAAGAATCGCAATCGCAACGCCGGCGACGACGACGACGCGACGAAGAAGCACGTTATAAGAAAGTAGTGTGTGAGGAGGAAGTGACGAAATACCTCTCGCAAAAAAAGCCCAGAAGCCGAGTGCTGGGGACATTGATTCTCTGCGAGGATTGCATTTTGTTGGTAGTATGAACTAATAATGTTTGGTTGGATTCGAAAAAAGGCTTGAAATGTGGGAAACTGTTCGTTTCATCTTCTCTTTTTTGGTGTTTTCTTTTTTCCTTTGTGTGTGTGTGTAGTGTGTGTGTATATGAAGGGTGTGGAGCTCTCATGATTCCTGCTGGGAGCGTGTGGAGATTCGCCGCCACCTAAAACACTCGGTGGTTTGCCTAAAAACCGAGTCATGTGAGTTGTGCTGCCATGGTGGAGCTTGGAAGTTTTTTGGAGTGTTTTGGCCATCTGGAATGCGGAGGAGCACTGAAACTGCTGCTGCCTGCGTGTTGATGCCCCGGTGGTTGCAGTTGATTCACGCTTTGTGGATGTTGGGATTCTGTGAAACGCTTTGGTTCTTCGCTTTTCTGATCTTCGGTTTCTCTTTGTCTTTCTTTTTTTCTTTCTTTCCTTGCTGCTGCTGCTACTTCTTTCTTCGACTTTGATTTTCTAGCTCTTGTTACTTCTTGTTTTCTCTTGCGGCGACAACGGAACTAAACACAAACCGGAATTTCCTCCTCCAGAACAGCGATCACAGGCCGGATTGTCGAACTCTGCGCGCTCGGAGATGGCGGTTAGCATGCAGATCTTGCTGGGGATCTTAGGTACGTTGAAAGTACAAGGAAAACATAAAACCAAACAAGTTTCGAATGGAACTCGAAGAGATTTTGATTCTGTTGATGGTGGTGTAGGAAACATCACTGCGGTCGCACTCTTCATCTCGCCAGCGTAAGATCACGAGAAAAAACAAACAAATCTTTCCATCTACCAAAGTTTTATCATGTGGATCGATCTAAACCTTCGTACAGGCCGACCTTCTGGAGGATCTTGCGGATGAAATCGACGCAGGACTACTCGGGCCTGCCGTATGTGTGCACGCTCTTCAACTGCATGCTGTGGGTCTTCTACGGCATGCCTTTCGTCAAAACAAACGGGATGCTTATCATCACCATCAACGCCGCCGGATGCGCCATCGAGACGGTCTACCTCCTCATCTATCTCATCTACGCTCCAAAGCTCGCCAAGGTACGCATACTCATCGATCGAGATCGCAAGTTTGCTCTCCATGGAAAACTTTGGAAGTTTGGAAGCTTTGATAGACTTTGGATCATACAGATGAAGGTGTTGCGGATGCTTGGGGCCGTGCTGGCTGCGTTTGCCATGGTTGTGGCGCTCACGATGCTCCTGGCGCACACCCATGACGCCCGGACTACGATCGTCGGCTCGGTTTGCGTGGTGGTGGCGGTTGCCATGTATGTCTCGCCATTAAGCGTCATGGTGGGTGATTAGCGGGACAGATTTGCAGCTGATTTCTCGTGTTTGTGACAGAAACTTGTCATCCAAACACGGAGCGTCGAGTACATGCCGTTTCTGCTCTCGCTGTTCGTGCTGATCAACAGCCTCGTGTGGATGTTGTATGCAGTGGCCACCAAAGATATATTCATCGGGGTAAGAACTTCCATGCCATATACATCTCTTCCAGCACCTGAATGCTTTCTAGATTCCAAATGGCTTGGGAGTTTTGGCGGGCGTGGCTCAGCTGCTGCTCTACCTCGTGTATCGAAATGCCAAGCCAGCAGCGGGGACATCGCCCGATGAGATCGAAGATGGCGTGGGAATGAAACCTCTGGAAAGCCACCACAACAACAATGCTAATATCGTTAGCAAGTAGTGAATCTGCAAATCTAGTCGTAGTCCGAAGAAAAAGAAACGAATTGCGCAACTTTCGAGTGCTTAAAAAAGGGTGGTTTTTTAGCCCCAGTGGGTTTCGAGCCCACGACTTTTGAGCTAAGTTCAAATGTGCTTCCACTACACTATGGGGCCAGAGATGAGAAATAAGCCGCATTATTTCCATAATATACACATATAAACTTGACCAGTCAAGTCAATGAAAAGTTGGTGGACTTTTCTGCCAATATGCATGTGGTACGGACGTGGCACCCATGTGTCACCCTGACTAGAATTTGCACTTGGCTGCCGTACCCCAAAGACCCCAATTCCATATCAAAGTATTTTTCCTGCTTTCTTGACAGAGCCGTGGCACTTTCTTTTCCCACACATCCATTCAAGAGCCAAGAAAGAGGAGCTAGTGTCCTTGTTACAAACAATTGATATATAGCCAGCCACCCAGACACTGATGTTATATCCTCCCACGTGGAATGTGCAAGTTTGCTCTTTAAACAAAGAAAAAGACTTTGCCCTACCACCTTTCCAGTTTCATGCGTGACAAGCCAAGCTTCTTAATTGCATGCATGGGCAACCTGGTTGGGAGGAAGGGCTCTTCTTTTCAAAGTAGAAAGTTGGCCTAGTTGAGTACGTGCGTTTCTCGTGATCTTAATCTACATAGCGATTGTTTGAAACGAAGGAACAAAGTGGAGGGAGTGGTTTTCTAATCTCTAAACTTAAAGGTTGGAGAATGAATGATAATCGCCACTGCATTGACTTTAAAGCTGGATCATTTCTTCAAGTGACAAGAGCTCAGTCGTTTTGTAACGGTGGTTTTTTTTTCTTGTTTTCTGCCTCTTTTTTTCGTACCTAAAGGCATGTTTGCTCTTCCGGAGGTTCCGAGACGGCCGGATATTCCCCGAAGACTTGTGGCGACGGCAATTTCTTCGGCTAGCGCGTTGGATCTGCAAGGTAACAGAAACATTCCCATTTTTCCCTGTTTGAATCGAGAGATTTCATTGCCTACCTCGTTCGTGGGTCCAAAAGAATTGGGGGATTTCTCCTCTCGGAGCTGAGAGGCCAGTGAGCGAGCAGCGGGAGATGGGAATGGAGCGCCAGCAATCGAGCGAAGACGCGGCTGGCAAGAAGAAGAAGAAGGACGTCAAGGATCCGGCTGGCCCCAAAGCGCTGCACAAGACGAAGCTCGTCAAAGCCACAGGTAACAACAATGCCGATCAAGTAAGTCACCTGGAGAAGGAAGAAGAAAATGCCAATCCAGCTGAGAACAAGCGGACCGATTCTTCTGGTGCTCCAAAATCTCAGGACCCAGCAGCTCAAGGAGCCGAGACTCCGCTGAAAGACATAGAGACTCCTGTTCATCAGAAAAAAATATCACGGCAGCAAATGGAAAAGTTACCGACAAAGCAGCCTCCGACAAGAACGAAGACTCCTCCTCCTCAGCAGCTGCAGAAGGTTGTCTCTCCGGTGGAAATGGAGTCCCAGATTCCCAGTCCGACTCCAAAGCCTCCGGGGAGCCCAGGGAGAGCACTCTACTTGCTCAAGCTGGCCAAATCGAGCCATATCTCCGGTGACAAGCCGTCGAAAACTCTCGACTATGCTTCCCGAGCTGCCAAGATGTTGGAGGCCAACTCTTCGGATGGAAAGCCGAGCTTGGAGCTGGTGATGAGCTTGCACATTGTAGCAGCAGCGCAGTGCAGGATGGGTAAACACTGGGAGGCAGTCGAAGCTCTGGAGAAGACTTTGCAAAGCCTTCCAATGGAGTGGATAGCAGAAGCAGGGGCGGAGTACTCGCTGGCAGCGTTCGCGGGATACATGCAGCTTGGAGACACTTATACGAAGTTAGGCAAGCAAGTTCAAGCGCTCGAAAGCTACCGAAATGCTCTCACCGTTCAGAAGAAGGCGGTTGGAGAAATGGACCCTCAAGTTGGGGAGACATGTCGATATCTTGCTGAAGCATACCTGCAGGTAAATCAGGAATTTGCACAGAGAAAACTCGGTACTTACTGTGTGAGATAAACAGGCGATGCAGTTCGAGGATGCCGAAGAACTGTGCCAGCAAATGCTGAAAATCCACGCAGAAAAGAGTCCTGCCGGCTCGATGGAAGAAGCAGTAGACAGGAGGTTGATGGCTCTCATCCAAAGTGGCAAAGGCGAGCACGAAGCAGCACTGGAGCATTTGGTGTATGCAAGCACGGCAATGAGCTCTCGAGGACAGAGTGCCGCTGTCGCTTCCATAGACGCCAGCATCGGCGATTGCTACGTTGCCTTGGGCCGATTCGACGAGGCCGTCTTCTCGTACCAAAAAGCTCTAGCGGCATTCAAGCAACTCAACGGAGCGAGCCATGCTTCCGTCGCTTCAATGTACGTAAGCCTGGGGGAACTCTATCTGAAAGCCGGGAAGATGAGAGACGCGAAGGTGTACTGCGAAAACGCAATCATGATATACGGGAAACAGGGACATCCGGCAGATGAACTAGCAGCTGGTTTGACGGACGTTGCGGCAATTTACGAAGCTTTGAGCGAGAGGGAACAGGCTATGTGCTTGCTGAGAAAGGCGCTGGAAAGCATTAAAAACATACCGGGAGAACCTCGGTCGGCAGCGGGGATTGAAGCACAGATGGGAGTTTTGTACTACATTATGGGCAACTTCTCGGAGTCTCACTCGGCTTTCAGCAGCGCAGTGGACAAGCTCCGATCTGCAGGTGAAACCAACACGTTAATGCTGGGAGTTTTGCTCAACCAGATGGGACTTGCCTTGTTTGAGCTGGAGCAAATTCACGAGGCAGTAGCAGTGCTGGAGGAGGCACAGCATGTACTTGCAGAAGCTTGCGGAGTCTACCATCCAGACACCATTGCAGTTTGCAGCAATCTTGCCGGTGGATACGACGCTCTTGGAAGGTTGAATTCCTGTCAGATTTATCACCACCAACTTGAACTTGACTGACCTCTCTTTTCTTTTTCTGTTTTTTTTCCAGAGTCGAAGATGCTATTGACTTGCTCCAAGTGGTGCTTCGCTCCCAAGAAGAAAGGCTCGGTACCGTTCATCCCGACGTAGTGGACGAGAGACTCAGGCTCGAGCAAATGCTCCGAGAGACTGGGAAGCCTTTGGTACGCAAAACGAGCACCCTGGAAGAGCTGTTGATGCGGCCGGCTGCACAAAGTAAAAGATATTATCGTAGCTTAGCAGTGTAAGAAAACCAATTACATACAAGTGGTCTTTGTTACGAGACGAAACGACTGTGTTGCAATCTGTCTGTAAGATCGGGTAGAACAAACTGGATTAGAACAAATCGGTAGACCCCGTGACAATGAAAAGAACCAAATCGGGCGCTCTGTTTATTCAACAAGCTCGTAGCTAGGTAGCAACATAGTCGTTGGTGACTTCTCTAGAAACCCCTGGACAAGATAGCCTGGAACTATCAGACCAGCAAGCTTCCAAAATGCAAGAGAACGAAATGAAAGAGAAAGAAAAAGAAAAAGAAAGGAATACCTCGATGGTAGCAGTGGTGATGTCTGTAAAGGTCGCTCAAGCACTCTTGAAGCTGGTCACAACCGGGATGACCACAACCATGAGCACCACCAGCAGCAGGATGATCGCAATGAGCGTGCACTTCCGGGAGCTCCTCTGGTGCTGCTTGGCGTAGTGGAGCTGCGAGTTCCCCTTGTCCACGTAGTTGGCAGCCATGCTCATATGCCTCTCAATATCGTTGAGTTGCTCCCCCTGAGCTTCCACCAGCACAGCCATGTCGAGAAAGATCTGGTGGAGCTCCAGCAAGTTCTTCTCGATCTCCTTGACAGCATCGTGCCTCTCCTGGATCTCCCGAATGGTTTCCAGCACCTGGCCGCGACCCTGATCCTGGATCGCCCTCTGGACGAACACCTCACTTTCCCCGGTCTCGATTATCTTCTCGATCGTCTCCTCGTCGGCCTGGTGCCCAGTCACTGTGAAGTACCTCCTCTCCACGGTCTCGCGGTACTCACCCATCATTTTCTGGCGGAGAGCTTGAAAATCGCCCATGAGATCCTTGAGCTTCATCCTCAGGCTCATGGTGATGGACATCCTTGTGCGATCTGCCGGGGTGCCTTGCTCGCAGCCAGGGATCTTCCTGTTGACAATGTTGGCCTTGTCCAGCTCCTCGAGCCGGTCCTTGATGGATTTCGCCAGCCGCAGCACCTCCAACACGTCCTTGTCCATCCTGTCCCGGATCGCCTTCATCGCCAGCGCCTTGTAGATTCCTCGGCTCTCCTCGTTCGCGTCCTGGAGCTTGGACAGGAGCTGCTGGATCTTCTCCATCCCGATGTTGATCTGCTCGACCTCGTCGAAAAAATGCTCCAGGTTCTTCTCCGTCTCCAGCGACCCTAGCTCCATCTCTGGCCCTGCCTCCAGATCCCTCAGCACATCGCGCTTGAGATCCAGGTAGCTCTGGCTGGATCTGAGGCTAGACCTCAGCAGATCGTTCATCTTGGACAGAGATCCCCGAAATCTTGCTCACCTCTTGACGCGCCGCCCTCACTTCCTCGAGCCCTAGCTTTTGAAAGCGGGAAAACTTTAAACCGTTCGAACTTACAACGGAAACCAGCCACGTCAGTGCTTTTGAACCGTCAGATTCTGACGAATACAAATTTCTAAAAATATTTGTAAGTTTTAATTTTCATAAAATTTATATTGAGTTTAAATGATCTTATTACTTATTTAAGAGATAACATCAAACAAAGAATAATAATTTTTCTAATATAAAATAATTTTAAAAAAAATTAAGAATAGATATAAATTTAAATTAGAGAATATGAAACTAAACACAATAATAATAATTCATATTTATGTAATACAACTGTAATATAAAACTGTATATGTATGTATGTATGTATGTATAGATACATATAGATACATATAGATACATATATATACATATATATACATACATACATACATATATATATATATATATACATACATATATATATATATATATACATACATATATATATATATATACATATATATATATATATATATATATATATATATATATATATATATATATATATATATGTATTACCTTAGCTAGATAATACATTAATTATAATACTATAACATATGGACTGTCTATTTGGGACTAAATTTAATCTATTCATTCTTCTATATAAATAAAGGTTTAAACTCCAATTAATATATTTATTCCTATATTGGTGGAGGGGAACTACAGTTTAACCTTGAAAGGCAAGATTTTTTAATAATGCTTTACTCTAGTGGTTAGAATTGTGTTTTTTTATTTTATTTCTTCATTCTCTTTTGGATTTAAATCTGTATTAGTTTTTTTGTAAAATCTAGAATTCTAGCTATTGTTGTGCTTAGATTTACTCTCTTTTTTTTTTTTAATCTTTATTACATTCTCTTCTCCTACCATGCCATGCCGTCATCGATCAAAGAGTATATCACTTAAGATCACTAATGCTACTCTATTGGATTAAACTTTTGGTGTTGTGGGGTGTGCTCATGTTAGTGTTGTGCCTGTTCTTAATGTGTTGCCATCTCTAACTTCCATAGGATGTGATTACATAACTTATACTATTTTCAGTGTTTTACCATTTCCCATTAATATAGAGTATGATTATGACATCAATTGGCGAGCTATGGATGATGCAACTCAATTTGTAGAAAATGTTTGAGGATTAAATTTATGGAAAGATGATGTGTATGAGCTTGAGTGGATTTTAGATCATTTTGACGAGTTTAATTATTATGAAGATAGCTTTAAAGATGAAGTAGAGATTTCATGGGGTAAGTATCAATCTTTTAATCTACCATTTAATCCTTTCTCTTTACTTTTTACTCTTTCCCAACCTTTTTTTATTTCTTAGATTGAGCCACCTTGTTATGTTCCTAGTGTTCCTTCCTTATTTACAATATTTCTTTCTCTTTGCACATTAATCATTTCTGACTCTTATAATTTTTAGTCTCAATCCAGTGTTAAGTTGAGTGTTTTCTATCTTCTTTATACTAATCTAAATATTGAGTATATGCATGAAATTTAAAATCTTATGTTTGTTTCATTGGTAGAGTCTTGGATTAATCTTAATGTTGAGTATTCTCCTGTTTCAAGGCTTGAATCATTTTGGCTACAGTTTCAGGGTGAATACATGTCCTCACTTTTGAGTGCCACTAAAACAATTTGCTTTACTATTATTCCTGAGGAGTTTATGTATTGCCTTGAGAGTGTGAACATTGTTATTGATTTTCCCATCTCAAGTGTTGAGTTGTATATTGAGGAGGTTGAGCAACATGAATCTTTTGCTGATGGTTGAAGTATTTTATGATAGAAAGTCTCCTATTTTTCAAGCTTTGAGCACATATCCTTTTTTTTATTTCCCTATTTTTGTATTATCAGTTGTTGCAAATTCTTTTTCTAATGCTTCTTTATCTACTTTTACTTCTTCCACAATTATTTTTCCTTAATTTTTCTTGTTTTCTCCATTTTGCCCTATCACTTCAATTTTTTTTTTCTTCAGAAGAGGGGGTAGAGAGGATAGACAAGAGTATAACCTTGATAATGGAGTGAAAATGAATAAATATAATAGTGAAGCAAAGACAAATTATATGGATTATAAAATAAGAATGAGCATAGCAAGTTCGAATAGAACACCCAACCCCAACGTAATGAGGCTAAACAAATGCAATAGTGAAGTGAAGCTGAATATAAATGGTAGAGTAAAAACAAGTGCAATGAGTCTGAATAGAGTAAATGCTTCAAAACTCTTTTTCTTTTGAGGAGGGGATAAGGAGGATATGGAAAACAAATGGAGTGAATTTAATCTTCCATATGCAATGTTATACAAAGATAAGGAGGTAAGCTTTACTTATAGTCGTGAGTCCAATAAAAATGCAAGTTCTACTTATGGTTGTAAGTCCGACTTAATAGTGGTCTCAAAGAATTATTGGTGGGTAGATTTAAACAAGGAATATATCATTTGTGGCAATGGCATTTCATGAATTGTAGTGGTTTTTGAAGTTTTTTGTTTTGGTTCAAAGTTATAACTTCAAGGTTGGTTTAAGCATTTAGTAGTTGCATATAAAGTTGCAATTAGTTCTTCAAGATTCTATAGTCAACTGATGTTTATGCTATAGCTTTAAGTTTTGTTTTAATCATGGTTGTCAACAACTTTATTGGTAGTTTTGTGGGAGCTTTAGAATCTTATGCTAGTTTATAGTCTTCTAATAGAAGGTCCAAATGTTCCACCTAACTTATTGCCATCATATGGATGAGGATGGTGTAAGGTTTGAAATACATATATATGTATATACATATATTACCTTAATTAGGTAATACACTAATTATAATATTATAGCATAGACTGTCCATTTAGGATTGAATCTAGTCCATCCATTTTTATATATAAATAGGGGTCTAAACCCCAATTAATATACCTATTTCTATATCTTGAGCACTCACAAAATTTTATATATATATATATATATAATCACTTATTAGAATTTGCTAAAGCTATAAGAAAAATAATGATATTAAATAATTTTATATTTAGTTATATAAAATAAATTTATTTTAACTTTTATAAAAGAATTAGGTATTTATGTTAGTAACTGAATAAATGTTTTTATCATTTTGACTGAAAATATTATTATAGTTTATTTTTAATTTTCTTTATATATATATATATATAAATATTCAATAATATTTAGAAAGTTCTTAAGTTTGTCCCAAAAACTATTTCCTAGTATAGTAAGAATAAATCAAATATAAGCAACCACTTAAAACAACTGAGCATGTTTATCTTTTGTATTTAGTTTGGGTCTAAACCCAAGTTCCATACCATACTAGTTAGTGGAATATTCATCTCTTTATATTAAGCCATTGGTATATTTAAATAACACCAAATTTTATTTGGCTCTATTTTGTATATTGTTGGGATGTTAGATGTTTTAAAACTGTTGTAGTTTTAGATGCTTCCATGCTTCCATTCATTCATTCATACTGATCATTTGCTCATCAATTTATCCATTTATTCAGTGTCAAGTCCCATTTTGTTGCTTATGCATATGTGTCCAAGTTATATTTCACTTCAATCCATCATGAGTCATAGAGTCATATAAGATTGCATTCAAAAGCATCAATTAACCTAATCTTTATTTAGAAAATAGAAAGTTAGATCCAAGTAAACTTACAATCAATTGGTAAATCATTGAGAAGTATAACTAATAAACACTAAAGAATGAACTTTTGAAAGTCTACTACTTTGAAAAATGCAAAATAATTATGTGGTCATGTTGGCTATCACCTTGTCTAAATCTCACGAGGAATAAGTTGCTCTAAGTCATTTGTAAGAACTTTTAGTTAGAACTCTATTGTTTTAATTTAGCTTAGAGCACTTTGGTAAAACCTTTACTTCATGCATAAAAACGTGCGTGAAGTCATGTCGTGGGAGTTTTGTTCGCGCCTGGATTATGACGACTGGTGGCTGGAGGCTGCCAAAGAGTTTGCGGCGGATGGCGGGTATTGCAAGCCGGACGTTATGGGCTGGCCGACTGCCTGCTAGCCGCTCTTCAACTCAACTTTGAGCTGGGGCACTTCGAGCAGATGCTCAGGGGATTCAAGGCGCGAGAGGGACTGTGGCTAGCGGAAGAGGAGAGGAAATCTCGTGAACGAGAGGACAACGAGTCGTGGAGAAATAATCTCCCCTAGATCCAATACAGTGATTCCTGTACACCAGGAGCACAACTCTACGAAAAGTTTCCAAGAGTCTGACTAGAAAAGAACCAGCACTAGTACTGGTTGTTTGGGCAAATGCAGAAATGATGGCGTTCCAGACCTCGATTATGAAAAGATATTTTCTCATGATAGCCGGATATGCCCAACATGGGTATATGGAGCAAGCGCCTTCGATAAACTTAATCTGTTGCAAGCACAAGCTCTGGACTCTTTTCTAGAATGCCATGTATAGATCCTTGTTCCTGGGGCTATTTAACAGCATATCTAGAAGAGAGCTTTTATGCCAAGGATCCCAATGCTGCTTGGAACACACTTGTAGGCACATACTCACAAAAGGAAGATATAGTATCGGCATCATTTGTCTTTAACAAGAGAATTAGCTTATGCCTCAAATGGGCATTTTGACTCCGTGAACCATCTCTTTGAAAGAATGCCGGGAAGAAGCGCCATGACTTACACCGAGGTGTTGCTACGTTGCGGCACAAATGGAAAGATCATTGAATCGAAGCGATGTTTTGATGAGATGTATCATCGGACTCCAGTGTCGTGGAATTGCATGCTCATGGCCTACGCTCAGAACGAATGCCTGGACAAAGCCAAGCAAACCTCAGCCTAGCCCAGCAGGAAGTGGTTACCTGGTCGTCCATGGTACATTACCACGGTAGCGGCCTGTTTTTACAGTGGCTCACAGGCAAAGAGTCCGTATCCACTAGAAAACTTTCAACGATATATAGATATAAAAACGTGAATCTCAGACTTTTCTGTGTGAGTTGCAACCGCTCAACAGGCGTCTTTCTCATTGCGAGGCTTCTCCACAATCTTTTCATTCTCCTTTGATCACTGCTGCGATGACTCGATCTGTAGTTTCCTGCCCGAAGAGCCTCGGCATGTTTGCACCTAAATCCACCTCCACGGAATTCTTCCTCATCATGTCGTCTCTTTCCCGGAGAGAACTTATCTGGGCTTCACTCGTCAAAGTCCTTCCCAGCTCCGTGAACCCGTGCAGCCATATGGAGACCGCCTCCTCCACACACGGAGTGATAGACTCTTCCACCACTCCATCAAGTTCTTCCTCGCCCTCTGCGGCAAACTTTAACAGTAACGCAGTTGGCGAAGCCATGACGCGCACGAAAAGCGAAGGCGAGACGTAGTACTCACACTGTGGAAGCTTTACCAGCTTGGCTCGCAGCTCGTCCAGCTTTGAGTCCTCGTAAAATCTTTTCAGGTACTCTGGATCCATGACGAGGTCCTTGCGGGGCATGTTGTCCACGCACAGAACAAGTGACTTGTAACCAGTTTGGATCAACTCCACCAAAAGATGAGGAGAATCAATCTCGGGATCTAGAATGGTTTGAAGCGTCGTGATGTTGAGAGGCCCGAATGGAAGACTGGAGTGAAGCCACGAACCAAGAAGGAAACAAATCTAGAAAAGAACAATGGAAGTTTGCTTACTCAAAAGTTTCTAAGCAAAATCTTCAATGGTACCTTGGAGCCTTGTTTCCCTGATCTTAACACCACCGATCCTTGGGAGACACCGTCCTGGCTCTGGAAAGACCTGACTTCCGGCGGCGTGAGCGTGGGATTGAGGAGCGAACCCAGCTCCCGGTCGAGCCTCGTGGCTAAACTGGTCATGAGCTTGTTCTTGGCGATGCTGAGCTTGGGGAACTCGATCCAGCAAGCAGCGCAAGGCGGCGCCATGGAAGAGGATGGGCTACGAAACTTCCCTGGAGAAGTGGATTGGAGCTCGAATCGATTCTTTCTTTCCTACCTGGATGACAGCACGAGGTCGCCAATGCCATGCCCACAAAGATCAATGTCAAATTATCAGAAATCAAGTTGGCCAAAATATGTTTTTTAATATAATTCTAAACAATTTGTTTTATTTGCTAGAACGAAGAAAAACTAAGTTAGTGTGTTCACCTCATTTCTTCACTGCTCCACTGATCCCGGCAGGTGTTCTATCGAGAAAGACATGTCGCTGCTGCTGAGCTCCGGAGACTTGATGTCTTCAATCAGCTTCACAACCTGGGCCATCTTGGGTCGCTGCTCCGGATTGGACGCAACGCAGTCGAGTGCAATCCTCAGCAGATACACCATCTCCTCTTCGGAGTTTCTCCTGTAGGTGACGAGCTCGTAGTCAAACACCTCGGCGGTCCACTCCTCGCGGACCGTGGAGTTGACCCACCTGGGCAGGTCAACACTGCTGCCCTGCCTCGCCGCCACCCTGCCCGTCAAGAGCTCCAGCAGCATCACCCCGAAGCTGTAGACATCTGCCTTGTGCGTCACCTTTTTGGCCACAAACATCTCCGGTGCCCTGTAGCCATCGCTCGCCTGCGGACCGTTCTGGACGCTCGCAAACGGCAGCAGCCCAAAGTCCGCAATGCAAGCCTGCCCATTTCCATCGAATACTACGTTGGTGGATTTCAAGTTTCCGTGTGGCATTGTTGGGCACTCCCGGTGAAGAAATGCCAGCCCCTGCGCTACGCCGTAGGCTATCTGCAAGCGATCCGGCCATGCCAGTAGTTCCCGCTCGTTCGTTCCTCGGTTGGCTGTCCAGAGCACAAGCAGAAACTTGAGATATAATTATTTCACGATTTGATTTGCCAAGTTCCTTACCGTGCAAACGAGTGTAGAGGCTTTTGTTTGGGAGATAGTCGTAGACCAGGAGCTTCTCCTCTTGCGCGTAGTAATAGTAGGCCACCAGCGGAACCAAGTTTGGGTGCTTGAGCCTGCCTACAAACGCAAGCTGCTTCTCAAACTCGGGTTTCTCCGTCAAGTTTCTGTCAATCAGCCGCTTTACTGCGAATACGACACCTTCGCCCAGGACAGCCTTGTACGTTGTTCCCACAGTGCCCTTGGGAACAAGCATCTCCGCAGATGCCCGAAGCAATTCTTTCAAGCCAAAGCTGTGTTGGTTGTCCTCGGCAGCGAAAATTAGCCTCCCGGCTTCACCCTCCACTGATCCTCGCTGCTCCGGGAACTGCATGCTCGCCGAGTCTATGCTTTGCACCTCTCCGCCATCTTTTTTCTCGGGACTCTTCGATTTGTGCGTCACAGGCTTGTTTTTGACGTCGCTCCTGAAGTAGAACATGAGGAGGAGACAGATAAACACGACGATGGCGAGGCTGAAGACGACAATGATTACGATGCTTGGGGAGCTGAGCTTGTCTCTTTCAGAAGAGCGAGGTTCCGAGTGGGCATTCTGTGGAGACGAGGGCGATGGTAGTGGTGGGCAAGTGTTGTTAGTTGGCGGCCCACAAAGATCGTTCCCTGCGAATGAAGTTGGGCTTGTGGATGCGAGTGATTTTGGAATGCTGCCAGTCAATCGGTTGTGGGAGACACCGAAGTCTGTCATCTTGGGGAAAAACATATCTGGGATCGGACCTGTGAGAGAGTTGTAGTCGAGCCCGAGCGTCTGCAATTCCTGGAGATTGCTGAGTTCCCGCGGGATCTCTCCCTCCAGCTGATTGTTTCGGAGTGACAAGCGATCTAAGATGGCCAGCGTGCCTAGCGAGGCAGGGATATTACCGGTGAGCTTGTTGCCGAGCAAGATGAGTTGCTTGAGGTGGATGCAGCTGGAGAGATCGGGAGGAATGGGCCCGGAGAGCGAGACGTTGATGAGCCTTAGAACTCGGAGTTGATCTAGCCTGCTCAACGTGTTTGGTGCTATCGTTCCCGGAAGATCCAAGTTCTCGAGCTCCAGAAACGTGACACGGCCGATGTCTGGCTTCTTGCAACTGACCCCTTGCCAGGCGTTTTGATCCGTGCATGGATTGAGGCTGGAGACGTTCCATTGCAAGATTCTGTTTTGTGGATCTGCAAACTTCATGAAATCGATGAGTGCCTGCCTGTCCGAAGACACATCCGGCTGCTGTGCCGACGATAAACACCAAAGCCCAGAGAAGATAACAAATGACCAGATGGTTTTAAAGCAGTAGAGTGTAGCCATTTTTCTTCTTCTTGATGTAGAGATTTGCACCATATACATAAATATAAGCTCTAAGAACATAAAACACTGTTACTCATATGAAGCAGTGCTCGATTGTGCTAAGCTTACCTGTGTCTTAAAGCACTGCCTTGCGTCAGCTTTGCATGGGACGTCCCCTGTCTTTCTTCGTGTAATACCTCATGACTGTCTTCATCAAAGCAGGGATCCTTTTGAGCCAGAGAATGCAAGCTTGGTGTTTGTCATGGTGGCCGCCTTGATGAGAGGTATTTTGGTTTCACTGACCATGACATGCCCCTTTGGTCTGTCCTTATGTGAAGGCATACTGAAAAACCAAAGCTTGCCCTGCACCACAAAATGCAGCTGTCCAGAGGCTCCACACTTCAGTCACTCGTAGAATTTCAAACTTTGCAAACATATTGTAGATATATATATATATAAAAAGAGAGTTTTTTGTTTTGTTTTCTATCGTATGGCATGGATGGAGCGTCGGCTTGTGATTATAATGAAAGAAAGCATTGGAAATACCACTAGCGAAAAGATGTGCAAGCAGCAGAGACTAATGCACAGCATTTCCCTAATCTCTCGCTGCTGATCACGTCGGGACAAGCCTTGCTTGAAAACCTCGGAACCTTTGATGGCTGCGTTTCCAAAGCTTGTTGTTTGGCATTTGCTTGCGGCCAAGTCCTTCATATTCGGAGGTCGTTTGGAGATGGTTTTGTTCCACACCGGAAGCTAATTTCTTCTACTTGTTGTGTTCTTCTTCTTCACGTAAGACGGCACTTTACTTTTCTCTCGTGTCCCTCTTTGGTAGCTAGACCAACTTAATTGTGTGTTCTTTTGGCTCTCAGGTAACAGCTGCTAGAGAAGATCTTGTCCAAGCAGTTCTAATTCCATCCATACAACATATATTCCATGGCGGACCAGGATTTGAAGAAGGACGCGGTGGTGTGGAAGGGGCCCGAGAGTTTGAAGCAAGCCATCTCGCTGCTCGAGGAATTCAAGCTCCCGGGAGGGCTGCTGCCGCTGGAGGAGGTGATCGAGGTGGGCTACGTCAAGGCGACGGGCTACATGTGGATCACCACCGCCAAGAAGATCGAGCACAACTTCGCCAAGATCAAGAAGCTGGTGAGTTATTCCACCTCCATCCATGGCTTCCTGAGCGACAAGAAGATCGCCAAGCTCCAGGGCGTCAAGGCCAAGGAGCTCCTCATCTGGGCTCCCGTGGGGCAGATCATGGCCGACGCCGACGATGCTGTCAAGAATGTCCACTTCAAGAGCTTCGCGGGCATCACCAAGACCTTCCCTACTGAAGCTTTTGCTCTTGGGGAGTGATAATCCAAAAGCCCACCAAGAACACCAACAAATCTCCAAAAATCACGCGAAAACTGTATCTTCGGCTCTTTTCGAATATACCCATAAACTTCTCGCAAAACATACGTTTAGGGTTTTGCGTTATCCACTTTTTAAAATTTTATGGACGGTGGAGATTTGTTTGATCTAACGGCGGAGAACTCGACTAGGGCTCTTGGGATGCTCGAGGAATGCTCCGTGCGCGCGCCTGGAATTCCCAGCAAGGACACCGGGGCTAGGCGCGGCGCTTACCTGGCGGCTCTCAAGGTATGCGGCGGCGCCAGAGATCTAGAGCGCGGCAGGAGAATCCATGGCGAGATTATCCGCGCCTCCACTCCCGATTGCTTCGTCTCCACCGCGCTCGTCGACATGTACTGCAAATGCGGCAGCTTGGTGGAGGCCCGGGCCGTCTTCGAGGCAATCCCAGCGCCGGAGAGATCGGTGGTGTCCTGGAACTGCATCGTCATGGGCTACGCGGAGTGCGCTCGCGGCGATCTGGCCCTGGATCTCTACGCGAGAATGGACTGCGCTCCCAATCGCGTCACGTTTCTTGCTCTCCTCAAGGCCTGCGTGAGCCTGTCCCAGCGTGAAGATCTCAAGCTCGTCGCCGGAGCCATGATCAAGCCCGAGAGCTTGCGACTTGGGCGATGGATCCACTCGCGAGCTGCGAGAAGCGGCCACGACCGCCACCTCCAGGTCTCCAACACGATCATCGACATGTACTCCAAGCTCGGCTGCTCGATCGACGCTCACAGGCTCCTCGACGCCATGCCCCGGCCTAGCGTCGTGTCTTGGAACTGCCTCCTCTTGGGATACGCCGAGAATGGCCGCGAAAGCTTCGCTCTCGAGCTCTTCTCCCGGATGGAAGACGAAGGCTACGATCCAGACACTGTGACGTTCGTTGCCGCCTTGAAAGCCTGCGCGAGCCTCGCCGATCGAAGCACCACCAAGCTTCGTTTGCTGGAGAAGGGACGATCCATCCACTCTCGAGCTCTGCAAGCTTTCCATGGAAAGGAGCTCCACATCTTCCTCTCGAGCACGCTGGTGGACATGTACGCCAAGTGTGGGAGCTTGGACGAAGCTTGCCGGGTCTTCAAGAGCATGAGGCACCGCAGCGTCGTGACGTGGAACTGTATCATCACGGCCTACGCGCAGAGCGGCCACGGCGAGCTCGCGTTGCAACACTTCCAGAAGATGGTTGACGAAGGTGGTCTCGAGCCGGATGCGATCACTCTGATGGCGGCTCTCAAGGCTTGCGGGAGCATCGCTGAGAGAGAAGAACCGCAGATCGTCGAAGGAAAGCTCGTCAAGCCCGTGTCACTCGAGAGAGGCCGAGCTCTTCACCGTCGAGTTGCCAGCTCCGGATCACAGCACCACAGCTTCGTCGCCAGCAGTCTCCTGGATATGTACTCCAAATGCGGGAGCATGGAGGACGCTCGAGAGATCTTCGAGCATATGGAAAGCAGGGACCTGGTGTGCTGGACGTCGATGATTCTGGGCTATGCCGAGAGCGGCCAGGGCGAGCTTGCGCTCAAACTTTACGCCGAGATGAAAGCCAGCGGCCTGGAAGCTGACGACGTGACTTTCGTGGCGGCTCTCAAGGCGTGTGGAAGCCTGGGAGCTCTGGCAGCCGGGAAGAACGTCGAGGCCGAGATCTGCAACGCTGGAGTGGAGAGCCATCTGGTGGTGGCGAATGCTCTCGTCGATTTCTACGGCAAGTGTGGCAGCATGGCGGAAGCTCGAGAGATGTTTGAGTCGCTGAGCAGCATCCGCAGGGTCGACGTGATAACTTGGAACTCGTTGATCGACGGGTACAGTCGCCAAGGCAGCCACCAGCAAGTCTTTGATCTCCTGGACGAGATGGTGGCGCAAAACTTTCGGCCCAACGAGATCACGATGCTGTCGGTTCTCGCGGTTTGCAGCCACAGCGGTCTGGTGGATCGAGGCCGGGAGTTCCTCGAGACGATGGAGGCGAAGTTTCGAGTGTCGCCAGGGGTGAAGCACTACAGCTGCGTCGTGGGTCTGCTGGGACGAGCGAATCGATTCGATGAGGCGCTAAAGGTGGTGAGAAGCATGCCTTGTGATCCCGGCAGCTCCCTGTGGCTGACGCTGCTGGGAGCGTCGTGGAAGTGGAACGATCTGAGCGTTGGAGAGCTGGCATTTGATAAGCTCCGGGAAGAGAACAGCGCTGCCGCTTTCGTTCTTATGTCAAACATTTACGCTAATGGATCGCTCCCTAGAAGAACACATGAGCATTCCTCGTGAGAGATGGATCCCTGGCGCTAGAAAAACTTTTTAGATCGCTTACCTGGCTAGCGAACGACGGATGTGCTACTCGCCCAGAGGATCAAAGCGCAGATGAAGAGGACGAGTGGGATCAAATGGATGGCGCTCTCGGGCTTGAGGAATTTGGAGGCCGGCCTCTTGTTGTCGTGGAGGAGCTGCTGCTCGGCGTCGTCGGTGTCGCTGCCGCCACTGCCGCCACTGCCGCCATTGCTGCTGTGATGGAGGGGATTATCGGACGGGAGATCGATGGCCACCATGCTGATGCTTCTGGGAATGACGCCGTTCGCCGCTCGCGTCGGGGATGTGTGGAGATAGACGGCATTCGTTGCGTAGCTAGCTTCTAGAGAAAGATTGGCGCTCTGCGCCCTGTGCATCGTCGACGATTCTTGCGCATTAAGATCGATCGCTGCGTAAGAAAGAAAAGAATAAGATCGATTGCTGCGAAATATTTTAGATCTAGCCGGGATCTGAAGCTCGTGATCTAATCGTACCTTCGAGCGCCAAGCCGATCGATCCAAGCGAGAGAGACCGCGGGATGAAGCCCTAACAAGGCCGCGTAGTGAAGATTCTAAGAATCTATATCTAGCATATTCTAGAATATACTAATCAAATTTATCGTCCAGGTGGCACGTCTGTCTACCGCGTGATTTACAATGCCCGTTTAAAGGAAATATTTATTGGAGAAACCCTGGGGCGAGTGTTCTTTGTTCTTTGTTTCTTCGCGGTGATCAATCAATCGGCGGCACCGCAGCAGCGCGATGGCGTGGTGGAAGGCATTCACCAAGCCCAAGGAGGAGGAGAGCTCCAGCGCTCCCTCGGATCACAGCGGCGCCGCGGAGATTTCCTGTCCAAAATCCGAGAGCGGCGGCGTCGTCTCGTCGACCGTGCATGCTGTCCAGGACGCCACCACCGTCGCAACTGATGCCGCAGGTACGTCGCCGTGCCCGATTTCGTGAGTCTTGCGCGCATTCCTGAGTGTTTTGGATCGAAATCTTTGCTTTCCCTAAAGCGAGCTCGAGGACTTTGGGGTTTCTAGTCATGTAGCGCAAGAATGTAGGATGCCTGATGCTCCGATCGTCGTCTTGGTGTCATAGATCGTTTAATTTGTTCTCGGATGGGTCGATCGATCCATACTTGGTCACAGGCTTCCACCTGTGGGATTTCATGGATTTCGTGGATTCCTTGGGATTGGATAAGGGATTTCGTCTTTCTTTAAGTTTTTTTCTTGCCTGTCTCTGTCCGCTTGGCTGTGCTTGGTTCTCATGAGAGGCATTTGCTTAGAGAAAGTAACTGAGGCTGTGGCAGCAGTGGGCGCAGAGCAGCGCGAGGCGATTCGAATGGAGAACCGAGAGATTTGGGGGAGGATCAAAGAGGGCGACACGCTATGGGGTCTAAGCGAGAAGTACTTGGGCGATGCAACCAAGTGGCCTCATCTCCACGCGGCTTGCCGGAAAGAACTCGGCCCCGATCCACTGCGACTCCTCCCAGGTACTCACATCACCGAGGCATGCATCGCCAGAGCTCGCGAATCCAGTCGGAAGAGCAGGAACTGAAGATCACAGCACCAGCAAAAACGATGATAGAAGAAAAGAATTCGCTGCCAGCACTAGCAGCAGCCTTGGGTCGATCGATCGATCTAAGCGCCCATGGATTTGGATTGGAAGAAGCGAGCTTTCTACTACTAGCTATGGTTTTGTAGAGAAGAAAAGGATTTTCCGGTGTGTGTACTTTGTTTGATATATAAGACAATGGGTTTTCTCCTGCCATGCCATCTCTGTCTAAGTTCGTTTTCTTGGCTCGGTATATTCCATGTGTTCTTCAGGCGTAGTGGGGGATTTTTAACGCGACTGTGAATCGAACTGGCGACTGGCTGGAAAGGCTGATTAGATTATGCCAGGGGGAGTAAGTTAATGTAGTTTAAATTTGGGGGGAATATCTGGTCGGCATCTAGCCAGCGAATCAAAATCTTTTCCTCATCATCGCTGGGCGGGATGTTTTTCGAAATGGAGATGCATAAAAGGCGTGATGCTGCCACGTGCCGGGCGCTGGGGCCGCCACGTCAACATTCCTTGGTTTTGGGCCGGTCCGTACGCCTCGGGCCGTACCCCACTGCGCCACTAGATTTGGCCAGGCTTGCGTGTGTGTGTGTACTGTGCGGCGGCTGACACTTAAAGGAGAAGAGAAAAAAGGCGCTGGTTTGGATGGACGGGCAAATATTTTGGGTCTTTCGTCTCTAGGGGTTTCTTGGATTGCGATGCCATGGCGCTGCGGTGTGCGCCAATTCCTGGCAAGGGAATGCGATTGCGTCGTCGGTAAGCGATGGACGCCGCTAGCAGGAAATCGATTCTTTTTGCGGCCGTTTTGAGAGATCCGGGCGATCGGCGGCTGTCTTTGGGATGAATCAATCCGGAATACGTGCCCTGGATTGGAGCTGGAGCGTCTTCTACGGAAGATTGTAGAGGTGGTGGTGTCTTTGCTTCCGGGGCTCGTCTGGTGGCCCGGCCAAATGATTCGTGACAGGGATTAGAGCAGGGAGTTCTTACAGGAGTAGCTTGTGGTTCAAGGGAATGGATCATCATCGAGAAGAATTCCTGGTGACCAGCATTTTAATTCTCTAGAGGTATCGGAACAGGAATGTAGCTCCATCATCTGGACTGGAGGAGTTTCCTTTTTTTTATTGGGCTAGCGCCTCTCAAATCGTCCTATGGAGCCGCATTCTTCGACAGCCGTGACGACGCTCTCATTCGAGGATCATAATGCCAGCGTTGTTAGCTCCGCGGACAGTACCGATTTTGCTACGTGTGATGCATCGGTCGTGGCGAGCTCGAGGCTGAGTGAAGTTCACGGGGACTCTGGACGGGTTTCTAGCTCGGATGGCTCATCGCCAATGCCGGTTTTGGCCTCGAGCAACGGGTCCGAGGGCCTGGCAGGCGATGTGTGCACTCCCAATGGCGATGTGCCGAGTAACAAGCGGATCGAGCAGCATTCCGGCAAGTTTTGCGACGATTTTCTTCGATGGTCTTCATGGAAAATGACTGTCTTTTGTGCCTTGCAGAAGCGGAGATCATGAAGGAGCGATTTGCGCGGTTGCTATTGGGAGAGGATATGTCTGGCGGTGCCAAGGGAGTTTCCACTGCATTGGCGCTGTCAAATGCCATCACAAATCTCTCTGGTTCGTTTTCGATCTAGACTTGTCATGGTACGGTGTAACCGTGTGGGTCTTCGCTGTTGCAGCTTCGGTGTTTGGAAACTTGTGGAAGCTAGAACCTTTAGCCACGAGCCGGAGGAGAATGTGGAAGAGAGAAATGAATTGGCTTGTCTCTGTGACAGACTACATTGTCGAGCTCGTTCCAACCTGGCAAACATTCCCAGACGGAAGCAGCGTTGAGGTGAGTAACAAGTCTCTGTGTGACTTCCGTTACCCAAGATTGATTGTCATCTTATTCGTCTCAGATCATGGTTGCGAATCCTCGTCCTGATCTGCAAATTAACTTGCCAGCTCTCCGCAAGCTGGACATGATGCTCCTGGTAAGGCATTGTCCAGTTCAGTCATTGCTTGATCATTTGCTCTCCGTGTAGGATTGCCTCGAGAGCTTTCAAACGCCAGAGTTCTGGTACGTTGATCAGGAGCACATGGTGTGTTGTAAAGACAAAGCTCCAAACAGACCCTCGGTGTCCAAGCATGAAGGAAAGTGGTGGCTCCCAGTTCCGAAGGTGCCGCCCAGCGGGCTTTCCGACGAGGCGAAGAAGGCCCTGCTGCATCAAAAAGAGAGCACAAGTCAAATTTTTAAGGCAGCGATGGCAATAAATAGCCAGATCCTCTCTGAGATGGAAGTCCCCGATGCATATCTGGAAGCTCTTCCAAAGGTAAGTTTGCGTACACACATCTTTATCGCAGCGCTGATTTCCTTGGTTGTAGAATGGCAAGGCTATCCTGGGGGATCTGTACCGGTATCTTTCATCGGATGAGTTCTCCGCGGATGCGGTTCTCGGTGTCCTCGATGTCTCCAGCGAGCACAGCGCGGTAGAGCTTGCCAACCGGATCGAGGCCGCAATCCACGTCTGGCAGCACAAGCTCCAGAACAAGCAAACGCAACCGGCATCCAAAGACAACAAGTTCAATGCGAGGAACTCGTGGGTAATGGTCAAAGAGTTCGTGGCGGACGCCGAGAAGAAGGAAGTGCTCGTGGACAGGGCCGAGGGATTGCTCCATAGCTTGCGGCAAAAGTTTCCGGGGCTACCTCAGACACTCTTGGACATGCAAAAGATCCAGTTCAACAAGGTATGTTCTCATATAGAAATCTCCGATGCCTGACTTGCAAAAAGAAACAAAACTTTGTTTGCAGGATGTTGGTCAATCCATCCTTGAAAGCTACTCCAGAGTGCTGGAGAGCCTGTCCTTCAACATCACGGCTCGCATTGACGGTGTGCTCAATGCCGACGAGGTAGCGAGGAGCTCGTCTTTTACGACGACGACCGACTCGAGCCAGGCCCTGGGAAGCCAATCCACAGATTCGCTCACATTCCCCGTCATCAAGGATCCCTCCCGCAAATCAGCTGGCCAGAAAACTCTCCTCGCAGACTTCATCAAAGTGGACCAGTTCACAAAGAGGATCTACGCAGACGCTCCAGGCAACAACCAAGTGAATCAATGGCCAGCATCGTGTCGCTTGGAGCAAAGTCCTCTTGGAAGAGATTGAGGTTGAAGAGACTCACATAAACCTATAGAACTTTTCTTCATCTCTGGTGATGGTGTTTCCAAAACTCCATAGCCGATTGTATCCAATCCAACGAGAGTAATGTAAAAGGTTGGCCTTTTCTTAGTTCTCTCCTCGTGTGTAGTTTGCTACCAAGTCCTGGAACTCGGCAATTAATTTCTCGATCGTGATGCAACCGCGCTGGCCTTTGCTGCCTCTCGTGCGGACGTTCACCTGAGGCAAGAGACGAGTGTTAAAACTTGCATACTTAAAGACACGCTGCTTTCGTTCTTACTTCTCCTTTCTCTTGCTCCATAGCGCCCACCACCAAGAGATAGTTGTAGTGTGCCATTTGAGCTTCTCGGACCTTGTAATTTGCAGAAGTAGTACGTTAAATGTATAAAAAAAAAAAACGTGTGTCCAAGTACCTTCTTGTCCACCTTTCTGTCCGAGACATCGACGTCTACCTCGAAACCAGCAGCGTGAAGTTTGGCACGAACCTGGTGCGAAAACAGAAAAAGTAAGCAGAACGTTAGGAAAACAAAGGGGTGAATCGGATTTTGTACCTCCTCGGCGTAGTCTTTAAACTTCTCCGAGATTGTGAGAACGATAGCTTGGCGCGGGCTGAGCCAGAAGGGCCATTTTCCAACATTGTCTTCCAACAGTATTGCGAACATCCGTTCAACGGACCCCAATATCGCCCGGTGGATGATGACAGGCCGCTCGATCTTTGCTTCGTCTTCGGCCGAGTAGCTCAGCTTGAACCGAATCGGTGATTGGAAGTCAAGCTGCGTAGATCACGAAGATAAAAAAAACACGTTAGAAGAAAAAAGACAAAAGCCCTGAAAACAAGACCTGAATTGTTGCGCACTGGAACTTCCTGTTCAGTGCATCAGATACTTGGATGTCAATCTTAGGCCCGTAAAAGGCACCATCTCCTTCGTTCATCTGCAGAAAAGATTACGAGCTCGGTATTTACATGAAACAGAAAGGAGATATCAAACCTGCCAGGGCTTTGCATGCGCATTCAGAGCGTCCGCCAATGCCCCTTCCGCCCGATCCCACAAGGCGCTCTCGCCAAGAAAGTTTTCTGGCCGCTGGAATTTCATACGAAGTCAAGGACTACCTTGAAGAATTTCGACATACCGTGGACAATTTGAGATCATAAGTAAAGCCGAAAATGGTGTACACGTAATCGAGAAAGTCCAGACATCCCTTGACTTCATCGTAAACCTGTAGGAGGTAATCGTTTAGCAAACCAAAAAAAAAATACTCAAAACTAAAACTTACTTGAGATTCCATGCAAAAGATATGAGCATCATCCTGTGACAGCGGCAACGAGATACGTGAGTAACTCTACACAGATTATATGACAAACCTGTGAGAAACGCCTGACTCGTGTCAGCCCCGTGAGTGCACCACTTAATTCGTTTCGGTGTAAAACCCCAAAATCAGCTATTCTCAGAGGCAGCTCTACGTAAATATATATAATCTCGTTAGGCAAACACAGTCATGTTGCAGACTCCCTACCTCGATATGAACGGACCCTGTGTTGGAAAAGTAAACAATGGCCGGGACAATTCATGGGCTTCAGACCAAATTCTTGCTTTTCTATCTGCAGCAAGAGGTTAAAACCAGCGGGCGGTGGATTTTCCTAGTATTACCTCGAAGACGAACATGTTTTCTTTATAATGAGCCGCATGTCCGGATTGTTCCCAAAGTTTCATGTTATAAATGTTCGGAGTGACTACCTAAGAGCCGAAGAAAACATTATTTTCTACTTAAAAACAGCTCATACTGGACAAACCTCGTCAAAACCTCGCTTCCTGTATTCTGAACGGATAAATTGCAACAGTTTGTTGTACACAATCGTGCCCTTTGGAAGAAAGAATGCACTCCCTGGGCTGCGAAGGAACGCAAGCGTGAACTCTATAGTTGTTTCTAGGAGGTAGAAAGTTACCTCAATTCGTGGAAGAAAAAGAGCTGCTGGTTTTTCCCAAGTAACCGATGGTCCCGTTTCTTGGCTTCTTCATACTTGGTCATGTAAGCCTACAAGCCCAACAAATCAT